GTAATATATTGTTTCACCTCCAGCCTAAATGTGTTCTTCATCATATACTGTCGATTATTACGATACGATGAGTCAGTATAGACAATGATGTGACTCCCACGTAAGATCTTATAGATTAGGCAGTCACGTCGAGACATATTTAAAATTTTAGAACTAGGTCTATTATTAGAGCAGTACTAATAACAAAGTAGACCACAATTTCACAAGGTTAAAACTAGACGGATCAGCAAGTATCCAGCTTCCCCAATGTTATACCCTGAAAAAACAATTTTTTAAATTTAATCCTCCGAAGCTTCCTTCTACGACCACTATTATGAAAGCCTAGCTCGTTATCTAACAAATTCTTAATATTTTGCTGACCTTAAGTAACCACTCTGGATCAACAAAGACATTCAAACCTGCATCTGGTGTCACGAAAGCAAGGGGTCTTAAACCGCGTAACAGAAAACTAAACTAACCAAAAGAAAGGAAAAATATAGATTGGCAGGATGAAAATATTGACAAAACGGTTTGAAGATAAATCACTTATAAGATGGACGAGTCTCTCTAAATAAACCAGAGAATTCTGAAATATAACCCAACACTAGTAAGCGAATGCTATTGAATGAACATGTTGAACCAAGAAGCCTTTAGGTACATTGGAAACGGCTTCCAAGGGCAGTTTTGGCTGTCATGTAGCATAGGCCATCAACGCGCTACGATAATAGGCATGTTCAGACTTACTGGCCCGTTACACTTCACGGCTACTAAGTCTCCTCGTCTATGAACTTCAGAAATCGAGGTCTAACCGAGGCTCTTCAGTCCTCGTACAACTCCAAGGATGATTTCACCACTCATTTCAGGTGCTGAGAGTAAACCTGGATTCGAAAAACAATGGCAAAAGTCATATAAAATACACATTAGTGTTAATTAACCTTAGATAACATCTCAGGGTCTAGTCGCTTCAGAGCCGTAACACCACACAGTACTGATATCTTCGAGATAACAGGACTATGTTGGTGTTGCTCTAGTGAGAACGCTAAAACGTACTCCATTTAACAAACATTCTAAGGACGTAAAAAGATAAGAATATCTAGACGATGTTAGAGTAATGAACGAAGACCTGGTGGAGATAATCAATTTATTGTTTATTGCGAAATTATAGTGTCTTCGCAAAATATGAAAGCCACACATTATATACATCATTTGCACATCTTTCACCAGTTGTTACTTGCGTAATTCATCGTTCCTTCATTCCTGTTATTATTACAATTATAATTTGTTTACGTTCCTGATGTTTTCAATTCCATCTTTCAAATCATCTGCTGGCATGCATTCCACATCTGTTTGATGTTACATACTGCTTATGTCTGTCGACATAAGTAGCACACACCGTATTAAGACTATCATATGTTGGGTGTGACCAAATACTACAGCGTGGAAACGCTGACACACCGTTCCTGTTTCACCAGCCAGGATGCGATACATACGGAGTGGTTCCATCAGCGGCTTGCCATGCCCATTAGAAGTCGAAGATCGACTAAGCATTCTGGTGGCACTGGAAGATTGGGTAAAGTTAAAAAACTCTGATACTTAGATTAATTATTAACAGACGACCAGCTTTCAGTGGAAGATCACTATGTCCATGCACTAATAGGGAATAGTGACCATGACTCAGTCATATTTTAACGGGGCCAAAAATGCGGTGCTTCTGAGGGACAAGAAAGCTTCCCAACTTTTCTACACTGTGACAGAGTATTTGATCATGAGAGTGTGTCTTCAACATCCACTATGGCCACGAGAGTATGAGAAGGTTAACAGACGATGACCACTGGGATATAGTGAGTGATATCACTCAGAATGCCTATCAGCACAATTTAAATTAGACAAAACACAACACCGTAAAGAAAAGACCCTAGTTAAATGAAACACAGCAAGCTTGCTAATGGCCAAAATGAGGGCTCAAGACTGATACAAAGTATCCCAGAAAGATACTCACTGTAGCGACACCGAAGGTTTAGACATGCTTCAACGTCAATATGGCAACCAAATTGCAAGCTAACCCTACATATCTCTACAGATTCATGACTAACAGAAAACCAACGGACCTGAGAGCCAGTACTTTAAAAGGGGCGAGTGGACAAGATCTCACCAGACTAGAAATGACATAAATCGTTAATACCAACCTCGCCGGCCAGTTAAACTGGGAACGTACATGCACGAAGCACTCCTCAACTTTGGTGGCAGTTAAGGGTCTGTGTAAATACAACTAACTCCTGGATTAGCACTAAAGAAACTGAAATCCTTGGAACCAGGCTAGTCACCAGGCTGTGACAACATCCTAACTATAATCCTCAAGCAGTGCGCAAAACCTATCAACGTACCAGAATTTGAACTGTTAAGACATTCGCTTGAGTCATACCAATTCCCAAAGGAATGGGAACGGGTTAGTCCCGTTCTTCAAAGTGGGACATGCTAAGGATACGGTTTGTCACAGAAAATTTGAATTAATACTAGTACTGTCAAAGGTAATGGACAGAACCGCCAGTGATAAAACGACGGAACAAAGGGAATCAACTCAGTGTCCATAGTTTTCGTAGAAGCCTTCCATACAGTACCTCATGTACTTCTCACGGTGCGGGTTGCAAAGAAAGATTTCACTGATCAGCTTTTGTCTTAGTTCAAAATTACCTAGAAAACAGAATTTTTCATACCAAGGTGAATGGAGCGCACGCTCAATGCCAGGAGTTTCACAGGAAACCATTCAAGCTCTAGTCCTGATGTTTATTAGAAGCTTTAAAATAATATTAGTTTCGTGGCAGTAAAGATCTGAAAGTCCAAAAATCTAAATGGATACACTTGGGATCCAAAAGGACATTGAAAGAATAAAGGGATGGGCAGTAGACAGTCTTTTTAAACTAAACCTGCCAAAATATCATGTCACTAAACATCCTCACCAGATTCAGAGAAATTGGATGTCAGTATATCTGCTTCCGATTTTCTCCGTATAGCGGGATCAAGGACTGGAAAGCACACAAAGTTTGGGCACCAGCTCAAACTATGTAAGTAATGCAGTCAAGGAAAATGCCGTTATCTAACGTGTCTGAGGAAGAAAAATCATATGAGTAACAATTGACGTTGATGGCCTTTTCTGCCCGCTTTTTGAATATATACAGGAACTGTGTATGACAATGCTGTAGGTACCACAATAATTAGTCACATATTCTTAGGAAGTAAAACGATGAGAGTTTGTCGTAGTTAATGCTAATTTATGATGCATTTGTTATCGGGTTAACGAATGAATTTCTGTAAACATAATCCACAGTCGCTGACCGAATTATAAAAAAAGTTCTAATGCATATTGATGAGTAATATCTAAATAGCGCTTACCGGTATGCACGTAAACAGTGAATCGCTAATTGTATTATGAAATTTGTAATTGGATTTTTCTCAGATTTCATATTACTAATTAAAATTTTTCAGTTCGTTTATTTGACAACTGCAGTTTCTTTGTTAGTATCATCTGACCAGGTGAAATTCTAGAAGGGTTGGAAAATGAAGTGCACTGTTTACAAGTAAAACACCTATAAGTGCATTATCTTAGCTGCTATTTCATTAACTTATTGAATTTGATACTGACAACGAAGTTTAATCGTTTGTCCCCACAGGTTTTCTGATATGCTACTTACGACATCTGTCAACTAATTGAAAGGCTCAAACCTTTCTAATAATCAAGTCTATGCCGGTGAAAAGCTTGGCGAATTTCCGAATATGGAAGATTATGTGAACAACCAATTTACGAGTTGATAGTGACTGTGTTTTATAGTGACTACTGCCACGTTTATTGATCCAATGAATTCTTTATAACTAGATATAACAACCATACTCAGTCTTGTTAGTATGTTGAATTATAGACCATCGCGGCATTAATACTACTTTGACAGTAGACCGAATCCCAAAACGGCGAATTCGTCGTGATGTGACTGTCTAATCTGTAAGATCTTCCATGGAAGTCACATCACTGTCTACGCTGACTCATCGCATCGTAACAATTAACAATATGATACTTAGCACTTCTGAATAACACATTTATGTTGCGGATAGAGTGTAATATTTTATGTGAATAGTGATAGGTTACACATAATGGCCACGTGTGCAGGGCTGAGCCATATCATCCGGTCGAATGAATGTTTCCACGTCCACCATTGCCGACCTTCTCCAAGCGTTCCACGTTGAATTTATATATTTTCAAAAATTATACGCTCGGCTTCGAAGACCGTGTGGTTAAGAAACAGTGCCACTACAATTATCCATTCGAATACACTGTCGTTGTGAAGAAATTTATATATAACGAAACATTCTAGTGACATATTTAAATTGATGCAGTACTACAATTTTTCGTAACGAAACAGGCTCTTATAAAGCGAACACTTAGTTATTTTTAATTTTCACAAACTGTTACCCATTATGGTTATTGGTATATCTACCCATGGCTTCGTTGAATCTGTACATATTGTTTGCCTCGTCTTGGTAGTGAAATTGTTGTTATTATGGAAGTTGTGAGTGTTATTAATCTTCCTTCGGTTACAACGATGATGAACTATACAGTTTATCTTTTGTAGTTGATAGAGTTTACCTGTGAGAGTTCGTCTTCATACCAGCAGCTTATGACGACAAGGACACCGGCAAGTCCCAGTTTATCCACGATCCAGGTTACATCTGCTCGTAATTCCTTTCTCTTCCAGGCAGACAGAACGCTCTTGATCAAGATTACTCTCATAATTTACCCAAGTAAGAGAAAAGTTTCGCCGAAATAAGCTGTTTGGGAAGTTACGGAGCAACAGTCGATCCAACGAGTGCACTACAAGACAGAGAGAAACAACTCAATGTTCTATGCAATGAATTTGTGGCTTTACGGCAGCAAGAGACTACTTAAATATGAGAACTCTTGGTATTCAGGCAACACAACGGGCAACGAACATACCCCCCAGTAATTGAAACATGGTATTACCGCCTGTTTCAGTCCGTTCAAGGTCGTTTCACGCAACGGCGGCCGGCTTAGAAAGGATCTGGTGTACAGTGACGTGTATTCATCTGATGAATTATCGAGTGGTTCTTACTACCTATTGGTCATTTTTACTTTTCATTGACTAATTACGGAAGTTTAGTATTATGTACCTGGATGGTGAGTACTTTTGTTATTAATGTCTTCAACGGTTCGAATGTGTAAATTGATTCAGTTTCTCTCTTTTGAGCAAATTTTGGGGGATTCTGGGTAAATTTTGGGGTTTTTTCTAGAGTTTCATTGTCTTCTTCAAGGGTTTGGGGAAGTGCTGGGGAATTTCCCCAACCGAACCAATCAATTAACAGATTTTCACATGAAATTCATTCATTCATATGGCTAAGTGCAGCTTTGGCGTTATAGCTGATGTCAGTTTGTGACAAATACCTAATCTAATTCCTAACTCTTATCATCAACTATAAATCATAACTCCATTTCTTCACACTGGTTTATAACCCTCATTTGGTGCTATTCATTAGATGAACATTAAAGATCACTAGCGAATTGTGTTTTACAGTTGATGATTAACATTAGCAATTAAATTTCGGGTTTTCACGAACTGACATTAGCTATAATGCCAAAACTACTTAACCAAATTGGATGAGTGAATTTCGCGCCAATATCCGAGGCCTATTATCTTATATCTTATTGGTCAGTCCATAAATTATAGTCCCGCCGCTACTCGTTTGAAGTCAAATTGCGATTTCAGCTTATGGGGTTTTCACGAATCTTCGAAATGTGTTGTAGATTAGCTCATTTTTTGAAATCCATATTTCGGATGCAGTTTCACGTACATTTGACACATTATTTTAAGCATGCTGTCTGAGCTCCAAAATGCCTTGCTAATTTCTTAAAAAATTAGGAAACTGACAAAAATCACACCAATGCTTTGTACATTTCTAAAATCATTGCTTGTTGTAACTCCTAAGTGCTTACGGTCAGTAACTGTAGGCAAGTTTATTTCATTTGCTGTGTTGTGGTGTAGGTTACCACAGGGACGTGTTTCCACTTCGACACTTTTACTAAACTGACTTGTCTCTTGATCACATCATCTTAGCCGCTCAGACTTTTCTCCCCATAGTCTGATTTGCGTTGATATGTGAATCCGGATCTGAGACTAGATTTACATACCTTTACATACCACTTATTAGAGTTGCTACATGGCACTCCATCATCGACCGGGAAATATCATTCAGGTCTGCCACAACTTTGTTTTTCTTGCGCGATAAATTTGTTTCGTGATCTCGCAGGAAGATCAAAAACGAAAACTGATCTCTAGAAAGGGTGTGTTTTAAGGCTTGTTAGGTGATAGACACTGAACCTAACAACAATAAAAAAATCCGACTTCAAAAGTTACAGAAAGGCCTTAACACTTTTGAATACAAACAATACTTAAAGATATACTCAACAAGGAAAACAAATACCAGTACCCTTTTTGTGTCTGTAATCAGCAAGTACAGGGGATAAACTCTCAACATTTTAGTATTATCCACAAACAACAGAATGAATGTTTTCTATTGATGTAGGTCATTTGTCTTCCATGGTGAACTTTGCAGTCTTTTTAAAAACTACCCTACGTACCTACAAAATTCCCGACTTTTTTTGCTTAATTATCATTTTAGGGTTCAGTTTTTAATCGTTCTCTATAAACGAGGTTGTTAAACATATAGTTTTTCTAATTTAAGCTAAATCATATGCAGTCCCCTACGTATTCCGGATATTTTGTCTAGGTAAAACTTGATCAACATGTTGGTGAACAACACACTTAAGGAAACAGTTGCATTTGTTCAAGTCAAATCAAATGTGTAGATATTTCTTTCATTATTCGGTAATACGTCTGGGTAAAAACAAACGATACAGCTGACCTTGGACAGCATGTCACTTAAGTGTTTAGTTATAAAACAGTTTAATGCAAATGAACAGTAAAATTACCACCGGCAAACAGTTTTGATATAAATAAAGGACCTTTACGCGTTATTATTATTATTATTATTATTATTGTTATTCGAACACATAGATATTGGTACAGGAGTGCGCCAAATACATATGCGCCACACAAATCTCATTTGATATGTGTGAGGGCTGTGATACTGCCCGGGTGCCTAAACCGAAGCAGGTGGTTTTCTTACGGGGCCACTCCCAGAGCCTTCGGCCTGAAGGTCTGATCCACAAGGCAGTGGAGCATCGTAAGGAGATGCAGTCCCATGGTAGCCGGTGACCGAAAATTGGTTCATACGCCATTTGTTCCCTCAGGATACTAGAGCCCATGTGCACCATAGATTTGGAATCCGGTTAAAGCGCCGGACATTCGCTTTTCGTCCTCTCATTTTCGTAAACAACACCCCTGCCACGAGAAGGCAGTGAGTAGGACTTCCCTGGCAGAGGCTATATACGCGTGGCCATTTGAGAGCGTTTCGAGAGGGAGGGCGAACCCACCCCGCTCTCGGCCATACCAGGGCATTTGGGGGCTTCTTAGATCAAGCAAATTTATTAAGCACCGGTATCTTCTAATTTATAAATTTATTTCTCTACGGTCTCCAGTGTTACCGTTTGTTGAAACTGCAGGCTTACACATAAATCAAATGTATTTTTCAACTAGATTTAATCGGAATAAGTGATCACTACCCACCCTAATTAACATTCAATCTTGCGAAAGTCATATGCATATTTTTTGAGTTTCGTTAAGTATCCTAGTCTTATCACTATTTCCTAACTTTACACATTACAGAGTTATTTTGGTACTTATATTTTGAAGTAATATTGGGTTTAAAATTATGTTATTCATGTATAATTTGATCACTAAAAATGTATTCATTCGTCTGTTGTAATCTACTTTTTATTTATTTCACTTCACAGTCAAGTACAAAGAATTTATTTTGTCTTATTGGTATCGGAAGTTTCATATAAATCACTGGTATTTTGTAATTTCAACATTGAAAACATAAGATAAATCATATTATATAAATCATACTCAATGATTCCATCCTTAACAAAGTTGAATCATGTTACATCAGAATGGTCAGATTCTGAATTAAGTTTATTACTGAGTGCGTTAAAAAGGTTAGTCCTAACTTCAATTTAAATTGCAATTCTATTAGAGATCGTTCATTTTCAACACGTGAATTGGCTGAATTCATACAAACAAAAAAGAAAACAGAGGTGAGTTTTTATACTTTGGATACGTTTCTTTAATAATATCGGTTTTTGTAATGTCCTTGGAAACTACTAAATATATTTTTTTCTAGAAGTAGTTTTTCGACTGTTTTAGTTGGGTTTTTTTTAGATTGAACGCTGACTGTAATCCACTGGTCGCGGAATAAATTGCATTTTCTGAACTAATAACGTTCAGATTAACTATACTTGATATCTGGTATATTTCAACCTGTTGGTAGAAAATCCCTATGATGATTTTAAAAACCTATCATTGTTGAGTGTCGGGAATAAAAAATCGCTCTTTAAAAGTGAGGTCCATAATTTGTACTACAATTAATAATGTACTTACAGGTTGTTACATTTCTACCGATCCTTGAGTTTTAGAGGAAGCTTAGCCCCCAAATGCCCTGGTATGGCCGAGAGCGGGGTGGGTTCGCCCTCCCTCTCGAAACGCTCTCAAATGGCCACGCGTATATAGCCTCTGCCAGGGAAGTCCTACTCACTGCCTTCTCGTGGCAGGGGTGTTGTTTACGAAAATGAGAGGACGAAAAGCGAATGTCCGGCGCTTTAACCGGATTCCAAATCTATGGTGCACATGGGCTCTAGTATCCTGAGGGAACAAATGGCGTATGAACCAATTTTCGGTCACCGGCTACCATGGGACTGCATCTCCTTACGATGCTCCACTGCCTTGTGGATCAGACCTTCAGGCCGAAGGCTCTGGGAGTGGCCCCGTAAGAAAACCACCTGCTTCGGTTTAGGCACCCGGGCAGTATCACAGCCCTCACACATATCAAATGAGATTTGTGTGGCGCATATGTATTTGGCGCACTCCTGTACCAATATATATGTGTTCAAATAAAATAAAATAAAATAAGAGGAAGCTTAGATTTCGTTGAGATAACAGTTACTCATAACCACCGATAAGCTCGAAATATTAACCTAATACTAACTGTTGATCGTTTTTCAGCATTTAGTTTCTTGCTGTACTGAAAGCCTGGGTCTAATTAAAAAAACCTTTGGTTTGTACAGTAAATTGAGAACCTAGTTCTTCAATGAATTTCAACAAATTACTCACAATAAAATTTACAGAATAAAGGGAATTCATTATACTTGGAGTCTGCTCATCAACTGACAGTGGCCTAGTTACAATTAGTAACGATATTATAAACTGTTTTACTTAATATTATTATTAGTCAATGAAGTTGAGTTCGAAACAGCAAAAATCATAAGGAACAAAAAACATTGACAACCGAGGAATAGGAGTATACTTACAATTAACTGGAAAAGAACTTACGAAATTCTTTTAGAGTTTAAGTGAGAACTTTTTTGGTTGTTAATAATATCATTCTACTAGTTTATTATTTTATGTAGTTTTAAAAGCTATTTTTTATATTACTAAGTAACCTTTATTTGATTCACTAAAGTTCTGATTAACTTTTAGATTAGAGAACTTATAGCTTGCCTTATGGATGTGGATGAGAAGAATTTACAGGGTAAACAATAATCTGTATTAACCAATACTTATAAACATAATTTTTCTTGTTTTAGATCCACAAATTACTGTACCGGAAGTTAAACCTGAAGGATCAATTGATGTAGAATTTCTATGATTACTTAATACCAGATTTTTTCTTTACACAGATTTTATTACAAATAACTAGACACAGTTGTACTGAATACTATAATTATAGTATGGCATTGAATGAAGTATGTCGTTTACATAGCAATGCATATTCTCATGTTTTTATCTAATTATTACTGTAATAAGTAGGTGGCTTAATGGTTAAAGCATCTAATCCCCAGTAATTCAGTTTTCAGTTTGGACTGCATTTCCTGTTTACTTTGGTTCAAGAAACTGAATAGTATAATTATCTTAACTCACCAAAAAATCTGATCGAAAATTAAGTACATAATCCTGTACTTGATAAATAATTTAAAAATTGATATGTTTGAAAGAATAACATAAGACAATTCACCAAGACATATACTTTTACCTCCGTTTGTATCTTCGCCTGAACTGAGCTTAGATTTTCATAATTAACGCTTCCAATACTAAGCTGGGCCACACTCCCCTCACAGTCCATTAGTAAAGCCTCATGATCATTTTCTGTTCAATCTGTATTTTTAAGTCATTGACATTTATGACCAAAACTTTGTATCTGTAATATCCCAATAAGTAGAACTAGGATATAGCATTCAAATCCGTTGGACTATAGATCTTTTGACAATGTTCACCTGCAAAGAGTATGTAGGATGACCGTTTCTTACAACTAAAAACTTTCCACTCAAACCTAAAACATCATGTAAAAGCCATTGGTGTTATTTATCATGTATTGTTGAATCGTTTACCAGATACAAATTTGTGTACTTGGTTTCGAGGCACAAATGCTGCTACTCGGTTTCCCAAATTGAAGTACGTGGGGAGGCAAGGATGGTCACAATGGTTGAACTTGTGGAATCTTAATCACTGACATATATATATATATATATATATATATATATATATATATTCAATAAATTCGTGGTATAATATCTTACTTAATTTATTCATCTTAGGGTTTCCACTGAAATGTACTGTATCGCCAGTTGTAGGGGTATTCTTCCTGCTAGCAACTAAGAATTGTAAGGGTAAGACATTAAAGTCGCCGTAAGAAGTCATTAGTCATAATGTATTCATAACTAGTATTGTGAAATCATCTTGTAACATATTTCAGGTTCTCCAGCGAGCTTCTACGTGGGAAAGTGTAGAATGTCGTAAAATCAATAAAAGAGATCCAGACCCTATATATTTACCTTATGCACAGGTTTATCGGTTTTTTTCTTCATTGGTTTGTGGACAACCATTACCAAATCTATCTGACTTGTCGTCTGGCGCCTTTCTAGATCTTTTAACATGGTATGTTACTCCAATGTATTGAATATTTTGTGTAATTTTTGTCTTTCAAAAGAATTATTTCACTTGTCAGCTTGCTCATTGATCATATTAAGACCGCCATTGAAAACATGGAAGTACCAGTCGACCATTTTACCCTAGTCTAGGACTACTTACCAGTGACCATTCACAACCCTGCATCTGAGACTCGAACCCAGTGTTTCCACTTGAATGCGGACACAATCTCCAAACCATTAAACCGACATCCAACGCTGGGAGTTCAAGAAGACCTACCAATTAAACTGGGAAGAAGGATACATCGTCAATAAATCAATGAAGGAGATCTCAGCGAGTATGAGAACTCAGCTTTGGAGGCATCACACTACTGTCGGCACCAGGAAGCGCTTTCAACAGAGTGTTGTTGAGTCGAATGAAAGATTCAGTCGACGCCTACCAGCTTCGAGACCAACATCCCGGATTCCTTAAGAATCAGTCGTGCAGACACCAAGCTACAACACTACGGATCATCGTTGAACAATCAATTGAATGGAACTCACCACTATATATCAGCTTCCATGACTACGAGAAAGCATTTGACAGCATGGATAGGAGAACCTTACGGACTCTTTTTCGACACTATGGTGTACCTGAGGAGATCGTTAACATCATCCGGAATTCATACGACGAACTTCACTGCAAAGTTGTGCATGGAGGAAAGGTGATAGATGCATTCCAATTGAGGACCAGTCAGAAAAGTATGCTTAGTCTCCGCTTTCTCTTTCTTCTGGTGGTCGACTGGATTATGAAGACCTCTATATCTGGGGTAAGCATGGAATACAATAGACAGCTTGGATGCAGCCAGACGATTTGGATTTCGCAGACGACATAGCTCTTCTATCTTATACACACGAACAAATTCAGGTGAAGACAGACAGTGTAGCAGAAGCCTCTGCATCAGTAGGCCTCAACATACACAAGGGAAAAAGCAAGATATTGAAAATCAACACAGAGAACACCAAACCAATCATACTTGATGAAGGAGCTCTGGAACAGGTGCACAGCATCATCTGTAAACAAGGAGGATCCGATGCAGATGTAAAGGTGAGGCTTGGCAAAGCGAGAGTGACATTCCTACAGTTGAAAAAGATCTGGAACTCAAAACAACAAACAAGAGGAAATTAAGAAGAGATGATGGAAGTGGATAGGACATACGTTGTGAAAATCATCAAACTGAATCACGAAACAAGTGCTAACTTGGATCCTAAAGGGAAACAGAAAAGAGGAAGACTAAAGAACACACTGCGTCGGAAGTTAGAAGCAGATATGAAAAGGATGAATAACAACTGGAAACTACCGGGAAGGATTGTCCAGGACAGAGTTCGATGAAGAATGCTGGTGGGCGACCCATGCTTCTTCACGAGGGGTAACAGGCATAGGTGAGTGCTCTGGTCAGAAAGTCGCGCAAATAATAAATATAAGTAAATCGAAGACAAAAACTGCCACTGGATTGTAAGGATCAACAGGTGATCTTATATGGTGAATATATTTTCAATCACTAAAAATTTATAGTGATTTAAGCTTAACCACAGAAAAACCAGAAGTAATGAACAATCGGAAAGCCTTGTCATAACAAACTATTGATGAGTATTTTAAATTGGTAAGTTTAGAAACAGAAGTAATGTAAAACTGCTTTTAGGTAGACTCAAAATGAACTTTATAATTGAATGATATCTTTAAAGAGGTGTACGCTTCATAATCTAAACTACTTAAATCATGAGTGATAAGTTCGTGTTAACCTACCATTAAGATCAACATCAATGTATGGGAATTTGTCAGAAAGGCCCATACCAAGTTCCTTGGAATAACAACTCTTGGTATTAGATGGAGTAGATATCTTCAAACAATCAAGATATCTCGCAATCGATTTTAATATGAAATTGGCTTCAAAGCATAAATCACAATTGTCACCTTCAAAAGCGATACTGTTTGCAATAACGAAATGGATGCCAAAGAAGGACCACAGATAAATAGGCGGTGTATAAATATTGTCTCCAACATCCCGGTGAAATCGATTATTCAAAAACTCATTAGTGCTAAATAAGAAAACGAATTTTTTTACCATCTTGATCAAATTCTACGTTGACACAGCAGCAGTAAATTTGAAATCACACAGAAATACAAATTGTGTGAGATAAGCTAGTAAAATCATAGGAAATATTTAAAGTTTAATTGGTGTTCAGATTTTCTTCAACTGAGTTACCACGTATTTTAAGACGATTAAAATTGCCTGAGGCGTCTGAAGAGGTAAGCATTCGGCATCGATTCTGAACTTATTAGTTTAAATGGACAGTACCAGCTGAAGGATCTTGACCAAGTGTTATCATCAAATTATGGCATAGTTTGACGTAAAATGCTTCTCCTACTATAAATAGCTATTTTATAAGTTTTATTTTCTCTATATATCCAATACAAGCAAATATACCTTACCTCGCAGCCATTGTCATCTTGTGCTCCCAAATGCCCTGATACGGTCGAGAATGGAGAGTCCGCTCTCCCTCTCGAAATGCTCTCAAATGGCCACGCGTATACAGCCTCTGCCAGGGAAGTCCTACTCATTGCCTTCTCGTGGAGGGGTTGTTGTTTACGAAAATGAGAGGACGAAAAGCGAATGTCTGGCGCCTTAACCGGATTCCAAACCAATGGTGCACATGGGCTCTAGTATCCTGAGGGAACAAATGGCATATGAACCAATTGTTGGTCATCGGCTACCATGGGACTGCATCTCCTAAAGTTGCTCCATTGCCATGTGAATTAGACCTTCAGCTCGAAGGCTCCGGGTGTGGCCCCCTAAGAAAGTCACCTGCTTCGGTTTAGGCACCCGGGCAGTGTCGCAGCCCTCACTTATATCGAATGAGATTTGTGTGGCGCATATGTATTTAATGCCTCCTTGTACCAATATCTATGTGTTAAAATAAATAGGTCATACGAAAATATAATTTAGAATAAGAAGGACTCAGGGATGTCGTTACACAAAAGAACTCAACACTCAGTGAAAAAAGTTGAAGAACCTGTTATCTTAGCAAAATATAATTTCCAATTTTAGCTCTGAACAACTGGATAACATTCAGTGTGTTTTATATTGGTAAACGACATTGAATATAATTCTTATATGTAAGGAACAGATTTGAGCTGATAGGTTGCTATGGCCTTAGTCATGTACAAGTTGCTGATCCAAACATTTAAGTCAATTCTTTTGCTTATTTAGACAACCGTGAACGATTATTTGTTCGTCGCTGCACGTGACCAATGCCGTGTATCATGAAATTGTAATCCAGGGTTTGCTATCAACCACCACTAATCACCTGATAATTATAAATACGGTTGTATAGTTTAAGCAAATGGCACCACCGAAAACAGAATTCTCTTAGTTAAGACGTTTTCATTTTTTCCACTAATACTGTAGGCCTCTCTCGTTATATATATTTATTTACAAGTACGAAGTTACTTTTATTGACACATGTATGATTCAGTATGTGTTCTCATCGAGACATTAAAAATGAAAAGTTAAGCGAAGAATTATTTCTTTTCAACTAATTCTCTATTTCAAGGCTCTACACTGAAATACAAGTTCTGTATTCAAGTCTGAAATCAATACCAAGTACCAGATGTTGGTTGGTCAATTCGACAGTGTTCTTTCTAAAACAGTAGTCAGTTAGCAACTTAACAGATATAAAATCAGATCTAAGGATAAGATTATGTCGTCAGTTAATTATTTTAAGTTTATTACTTAAGAATAAGAATTAAGTTCGAGAATTAGGCAATTAAATATAAATGTTTAGTATTATTTGGTAAGATTACTAATTAAAAAGTGGATTCAAATAAAATTAGTTGATCAGATCATTGAAGTATGTAGATCACGTAAATGTAGTCATAAATTACATTTGAATAAAAGGAAATGCAGTAACTAAGTAAACGAAGACAATGTTAAATTAAGAGGTCGAATGAACTTTATCTGTACGAAAAGACTATATATCTATAGCACCCAAATGCCCTGGTACGGTTGAGGGTGATGAGGATTCCCTCCTCTCGAAATGACCATATGACCACGCGTATATAGCCACTGCCTTCTCGCAGTGGGTTTGTTTACGAAATTGAGAGGGCGAAAAGCCAATGTCTGGCTCATAAGTCGGGTTGGTGGGTATAGAGGATCTATCTAGGGTAGTTGGAAAACCCTGATTTCAAATCTATGTTGCATACCAATTCAGTGTCCTGAAGGGTCGAATGGCGTATGATTTTATTCTTGGTCATCTGCTACCATGGGACCGCATCTCTTAACGTTGCTCCACTGCCCTTTGGACTAGACTTCTAGATCAAGTGTTTGGGGAGTGGCTGCTTAAGAAAATCACCTGCCTCGGTTTAGGCACCCAGACAATATCCTAGCCTACACACAAATTGAGTGATAACTATTTTGTGTGGCATATATATATATATATATATATATATATATATATATATATATATATATAGGTGTCTCTTTGTGCCAACGTTTATGTGTTTAAACAAATAAATAAATATGGCTTTTGTCGTATCCAAAAGCGGGGTTTTTTCGTCAGTTATTTGTAAAAAGGTAAATCGTTTACTAAATTTTTATAATTATTTTTCATGCTTTATCATTATTTTTCATATTAGTTTAGACAGAATTTTAAACTTTGTCAATATTAGCAAGAAAAGTGAAAATTCTAATCAGAATTCCCATTTATTAATTGAACAACTTCAAAATGCGAATAAAATCGCTACTGAAAAAATAGGTGTATTTTTAGCATTGGCCGCTGCTATTCAATTGAATTCACGTTTATGTTCACGACGTGGATGTGATATTACAGAAAACTTTGATGAACACTGTATTGCTCCACTGTTTTTATTATCTAAAGTGAAGCATCCTCATACACTGAAACAAACTCGTGAAATGGTCGAATATCTAATTAATCGATTCGCGAAATTATGGTCATGTAAGAAACTTTTTATATTATCTGTATTTGTTTGTTTAAAGTTGTTAATGACAAGTAAATGAAAGCTAGGTGTTCTGAAGCAGATTTTTTGACAGTTAATCGCTTTTTATGAGATACTAATTTCAATTAATTGTCGATCACTAGACAACAGCTAATCAGAGTATATTAGAGCTCTATTTAAAAATTGGCAATTCCTACTTACATGTGAAGATAAAAATTCTTAATATTTATTGGATTACTTTGCTATAAATCACATAAATAGTCTGGTTCACTTTTAAATCCAATTTCAACACCAAAAATCTTCACTGCTCTGGAACTGATTTGTAATCCTGTCACAGATGGTTGTAATGTTTTCCAACTTTATACTTTGAATGTTGTGCATCAAAGTACTCTTTGATTGATGAACCAGTATGATTTGTGATAGTGGTATTGGGTTTTCCTGCGAAATTAAAAACTCAAAGACAGATAGCTGGTATTCTATCAAGAGCTAAGTACAATTTGCCAGTAATTAGTCATGAAGATGCTTAAAATTATCAAATATTAGAAGACGAAAGAATAAGAATGAACTTGACGGATTCTTACAGTGACCATTATAAAGTGGTTAGTTTTTTCACGGAAAAGATAGTAGTGAATAAAAAACAATTAGTGTTTATAACATTGTTACATGATTTGGGAGTTTTTAAAGGTGTTGTAAAAATTGATGCACGCTGTTCCCAACCAGTTAATACCAACTCTTAATCCTAAACTCAACTTCTAATTTAAAACCTAAATCTTAGGACGGAATTCTAACATAAACTCTTGATCTTAGCCCTAATATATATATTTTTTGTGGTCGGGGTTCATGTGACAGTTTACTCATCGATATCACCATTCTGATTGGTTGAGTATTGGCTTCGCTTTCTCAAGGTTATGCAAGTCACTGGAGGCCGTCAGTTAAACTATAGTTTCACTATGTCCAGGTAAGAAGATGTCCGAGGTATTGAGAGATATACATTGTAAACTTCTGTGCAATTATGCCCAACAATAAATAAGTTGCCGGGAGCATAGATTGTTGAACTAAGTTATAGAATTGACTAGTGAATATTTATATCAGATGGGTTTTTGTGGAGATTGTAGTAATTTCAATGGTTAAGATCATGAGTCAGTTGAAGCTAGACCACCATGGAGAACCTGGAAGCATTGGATGGCCGTTTCGTCCTATTGCCGGACTCCTCAGCAGTGCGCATCCACGACCTCGCCCCCTGCGAGATTCGAACCCAGGACCTACTGGTTTCGCGCCCGAGCACTTAACCACTAGACCACTGAGCCGGCATCCAACGGTGTTAATGTCTAACTTCAAGTAATCCACGAAATTGAGCTTCCAGGTTTTCCATGGTGGTCTAGCTTCAACTGACTCATGATCTTAACCATTGAAATTACTACAATCTCCACAAAAACCCATCTGATATTAATGAAAAATATGCTCACTAGTGACTGGCTTCACGAGGTATATCCTGGAGTTCTAGTGAGAAGTAGTGACCAGTGGAGTTCAACCAGGTCTGTTGTGAGGTAGTAACTCACTGAAGACAATGGTGAATGTGTCGCTCAATTTCGTGGATTAGTTGAAGTTAGACATTAACACCGTTGGATGCCGGCTTAGTGGTCTAGTGGTTAAGTGCTCGGGCGCGAAACCAGTAGGTCCTGGGTCCGAATCTCGCAGGGGGTGAGGTCGTGGATGCGCACTGCTGAGGAGTCCCGCAATAGGACGAAACGGCCGTCCAGTGCTTCCAGGTTTTCCATGGTGGTCTAGCTTCAACTGACTCATGATCTTAACTAGTGAATATTTCTTGTGAATTGAATGTATTCAGCTAAACGATAGTTAAAAAAGAAGTGTATATATATAGTTAATACTAGGTCGCTTAATCTGATCTAGCCTAGTTTCAACTATGTCAGGCTAGGCACCAAATAATTGTATGCTTAGGTAAATACGTTGAAACACATGTCTGATTATAGAACGAACGCGTTATTATTTTTTTTTGTACGACATACAAATTTTAATATAATCCTCTTATTATTTTTCGTCTCATTCGGATGGAATTACTTTGTTTTTCTTAAGCTCCAAAGTTTATTCAATGATTATTAATAACAATTTGTGGTTCACTGGATCATAACATGATGTGTGTGTCAAGCGGTTATTATTAGGTTCAAGTCTTAGTGTAAACATCAACATTGGAATACAAGTAGCTCTCACTGACATGTCCTGAATAGGACGTAACATGTGTTCTGATTTCCACTGCTGAATACGTACCGAATACAATAAAGTTTATTAAATGAATATAAATATTTAAGGAATCTGATACTTTCCATAGGCGTAAAGTTTCAATATATATACTTAATAGGTGTGTCACAGGTCAGTTAAATAGAGCGTTAGGTTAGCTACCTGCATGTCATCTCTTTAAATTTTACCATAACTCAGATATTTCTGCACTTCTATTATCACTACTTAGATAACAACGCATGTATTTTAGTCTTTTAATTTCTTTTGTAGCCAACATTAATTTACTCATAGTTGTTTTATTTTTGTTTGCTGATATAAAGTGCCGAAATTCCCATGTTCACAAAATGGTTCATTTGCTTCTGAAGGAGAATTAAATATTCAGTCGACTGATTTACCAGATGCCTTATTCAAACGTCTTAGTATGTTTTCACTGAATCCATTTTCATTCCCAATGGAAGTGATGTCTCCTTTTCAAAAAATCTTAGATGATTTTAGACATATGTGTTCAAGCAGGTTCAGTTATTTAAATCGCTTCAAATCAATTTTATACATTTCTTTACCGATCGGACTTCAACATTCTGTCAAACGATCCACACCATCACAACCTATAAAAGTTGTTAACCAATGGAAGAAGCGTCGAATTGAAAAGTCGACCAAGAGTCGACCAACATTACGTCATAAAGCGTTGGAGAGTTCTGTGTATGTTATTTTTTTTTAAAGATTTGTTTCATAATAGCTAAGTTTGTAAATTTTATAGATAAGACTTTCTAAAAACGTTGATTAAAACTATTGAATTGCGCATTTTTGATAGTACACTTGTTACATTGTCAGTTTCACAGCGTTCCATACCATTCATTCCATGATTGACATAAAAATATTTACAACTGGTTTAATTAGGATGGTTATTAGTTTGTTTGTTGATCTATTGTAGCATTCGTACTTATTAGATCCTACAGTTTGAGAGGTTGCTAATTATTGATACATAAATAACCATTCAAATTTCGCAGTGTTATTTCAAAAGTTTACAGTTGAATGGTCACTACTCAGTGGTCGACCACCTCCAACCATCACCTTATCTTAAAAGTGAATACAATTCTGTTTTCTATGACGACTGGTTTTCATATCCAATAAGCTTAAAAAAAGCTTAAAACAGCCAATGCATTGGTATAGAAATATAAATTTGATCAATTGAAAAATCACAATTTTTAAAAAGCTCTGTCGTAAAGCTGTGGAATATTTCAACTTTCGTGATTACTTCTGGTTTAGTGTTCGTTTTCTTCTTGTTATTAAGTAAAATCTTTGAAATACAGTGAAGATTTTATGTATTCAAGCATTTCAGCTGTGTCAAGTGTCATATAATTATAATGTAGGGTTTCTTTTTGTAATGAATGGCAAATCAGCATTGGATCGATATTATTTGACATGATTAGTCAATAAGAATCGTATAATATTTCTGTTTCCCACCTGTATTGTTTCGTCTATAGCCTAGGCTCCTAAGCTTTGACCCAATAATACGCTTTGATTGGCAGGATCAACCGTGAATTGAGGCCACGATAATCTTAATGCGTATTTGTCAGTGTCCTGTTTTCATACGCTCACATCCTGACAACAAAAGTAGGATGAGAACACATGTGGAATGAAACTTAGTGATAGGTTTGTAATTAATTAACGATAACTTGAGAAAGGTTAAAATACAACAATGGTTTATGAGCCAAGCGAAAGCTTACCACTGGGGAAATACAAAGATACAATAATTCCAGTATTTAGTAACTATACAGTAAACAATAATTTTCGGTAGAACTGTTTATATATAGTTTCGATAATATGAACTCTGTGTCACTGTTGATATTTTGATGTTTAGTTCCTAGTACTGATTCCGTTTAATTAGGTTTCAGCGTATTGACTGGCTTTTAATTCCTTACAACAACTCATTCTATGAGACGTAAACACAAGTGAAGAATTACGTATTTGTAGGTTAGAAATATCACAATAAGGTCAATGTTTGTTTTTGTAGCACAGATTTTGGTGCTCTCTCTTGCGTAATGCACCAGTTAGAAATTGAAAAAGCATGCAATTGTTGTCGCAGATCAGAGCAAGCTTACGCGATTATTTAAACATTTTTTCTCGATAATTTAAGCACTTGGAATGAATATAATATCGTCGTTATGAAACTCACATTATACCTGAGTTTGCACTTTTTTGCTTCCCAATATATAGACCTTTGAATAATTTGACAACATTGAGTTTTGATGAAAATACAAATCAAGTTGGCAGCAATGCATGTAGCGATGAGAAAACTGATTTGAAAGTTAACCTAACAGTAAGTTGTTTATTGTATGATTTTCTAGCTAGATTGTCAGTCAGTCGCATCGTAGAACTTGGTACGTGTGTATATACCATACCCCATTAGCGAATATAGATGAAATTGTCAGGTCAAGTCCCAGGATAGTAGAGGTATTAACAGTAACAGAAAAAATTAGGCATCGAAGGTACGACTCAAGAAAATATAAATTAGTGAATAAAAACACAGAAAGGTATGAAGCAATTTTAATTCCACGATTTAAGGGAAGAAAAAGAGTGTATACACCTACGCCATTGTGACTGATTTTGAACCATGTCACACAGTCTCCAAACATTGGTTACAATAGTCACGTGGACCCCAATGAAGTAGCCTTCATCTAACAGCATGGCTCAAACCGAAATTCAGTAACTTCAAGGACCGATTCCACGTTTTAGTTTGGCCGCCCCTAACTTTCTTCCAACCATCCCCTACACTAGTCAGCATTGGGCATTGCTGTAATCGGTGTTCAGGCATACGTAACACGTGGCCCAAACATCCCAGTCGATATAGATTCACAATCTCATCAACTAATTTGTCATCATTCCCTAATACCCTGGACTCTAAACTCATTATCACTTACCCAGTGACTCCAGCAGATGCGAGCGATATTTCTAAGACATCTGTGGTCAAATACTAGTAACTTACGGGCATCTTTTAGTTTTAATGACCGCGTTTTGCAGCCGTAAAGTAGAACAGAACGAACTGCTGCGCAGTATACTCGTCCCTTAATTGATAGACAGATACCTCGCCTTCGTCATAGGTGACATAAGTTGGCAAAAGCCAAGCGAGCTCTTCGAATCCGTGCTGAGATTTCGTCAGACACCAACCCATTAGGGCTGATCAGACTTCCAAGATAAGTGAAGTTAAATAAGAAAGAAAGATTAGTTCAGCGAAGAGTTCTCTTTTCGGCGAATTCATTTTCAAAGCTGTACAATCGCAAATATATATACTTATTTTTACAGGGTGATAATAATACTGATAATAAACTTCTGTTATACATGGTGAGAGTGAGGTTAAATAAACAAAGATATTTAAAAAATCTTTAAAACAAGGAAAGTCTATTAATCGTTTGATAGTTAATGGCTTAAGTATTCATGGGGAAGGATGGCTGAGCATGATAAAATAAAATAAAATGTTGAAACAGAGATGAAATGTAATCGGAATGATCGTGGAAATAAACAACAAACCGGTTGGGGGTAGAACATTTGAAGGGAAGATGGAAGGTGAAGCAGGTGGCTGTAAGGGAACAAGAGTATAAAGAAAGAGAAAGAAATTTTAATACATTAAGACCGTTTTAGAAAAAGAGGTTGTACCAGTCTCTTTTGTACACATAATTCCGGTTTTTCAAAATGTATGTCTGTTGTCTCGGCAATGCAAAGAAGATGCAGTCTAATTGTCAACGCGTACGACCACTTCACTCCCTATCCTTAGTTCAGGTGTTGACGCAGACCAGTCCTGAAGCAACAACTTGCATTTACAGCGGGAAAAATGCATTACAAACATCCTGGCATTGTTGCTGACTGCTATCAAAAGGCTCTGCATTTTATCAGCACCTTCATCAAACAGGACTATGTAATCTGTGTATTCTAAGTCGATAAGTGGACCTCCAGATCGATTCCCGAAAATTCACTCGACGAGAATGTTATTTCCAGCAGTACGTCTACAATTAAATTAAACAGAAATGGAGATAGTGGACAGCCTTGTTGGACACCACTTGAGGTTGCAAAATCAGATGGCATTACAATATAAGTTGGAACCACGTGCATCATTGAAAATGGCTGCCTTCAACGTTCGCACACTTATGCGGGTCAAACAACAGTTAAGGCTGGCTATGTCGTTGGAAAGTTTTAATATCGACGTTTGTTGTCTATCCGAGACCCGTATTCAAGACTCTGATGAAGTACTACAAATTTGCTCTCCATCTGTTGCTTCGAAAAGCTTGTTTTACGTGCGTTTATCCGGGGACCCTGTGGCATCTTCGTCTGGTCTTGCTGGCGTTGGTGTCGCACTAAGCGCTAGAGCTGAGGCAGCACTAGTCGATTGGATCCCGATTAACAGTCAGTTATGTGCCGTTAGATTAGAGAGTTCTATCAAAGTGAGAAGAAATCGGCGTGAGAAACGATGTATTTTCGTCATCTCCGTCTATGCTCCGACAGATTGCAGCCCGGATGCAATCAAGGATGAGTTTTACCACCAGTTAACTGTTATTCTCCAGAAAGTGCGTTCGACAGATATTGTAGTACTAGCCGGAGACTTGAATGCTCAGGTTGGGCGTCTAGGCACAGAAGAGAGTCTTTTAGGTGATATTGGTTGCAATTGCATGACGCCATGAAAATGGTGGGTACAGTCAGTTGTGGGTTCGCGAAACGTCCCGCTTATAAGCACTGGGTTTCTTGAGGTTCCTTACAACCTATTGAAGCCCGTCGGGCTAAGCCGGGTGACCGTGAGTTTGACCAGAAACGAAGAATGTTACATAATGAAATCGGGCGAAGCTTGCGTAAGGACCGAGAAGCCTGGTGGTAAGAGCGTGCTAATGAGCTGGAAACAGCAGCTGCATCTGGTAATTACCGGAAGCTCTTCCAGCTCATCCGAGCCACTGGCAGCAAGAAGTCTGGTGTGAGTGAAACAATCTGCGAGGATGATGGGATGCCAATCACTAACATCCATCGACGTCTTGGACGATGGGCAGAATTCTTCGAAAGGCAGTTCAACTGGCCTGCTGCTCCGGCAACATCGGTCAGACTGTCCTGCCCTCCATTGTCGGTGACGACTGATCACCCAAATGAGGCGGAATTCAGCAAGGAACTTCAACTCTTGAAGCGTTACAAATCACCTGGCCCAGATGACTTACCTCCGGCTCTTTTTAAAGATGGTGGTGACTTTCTGACTAAGGAATTGACGACGTTGTTTACAAAGAATTGGGAACTAGAGAGTGTACCGACGTCATGGAATGAGTCGATAGTTGTCCCTATCTTTAAAAACGGTTCACGTCGTTCCTGTAACAACTATCGGTGGATAAGTCTACTTCAGATTGCGTCCAAGCTATTGGCTTCCGTCGTACTTCGTAGGTTGTTCAAAACCCGAGAAAGATTGACTCGCGAGGAGCAGGCTGGGTTTCGTTCTGGTCGAGGATGAATTGATCATATCTTCACCCTCCGCCAAATGTTAGAACACCACCATACTTATCATAGGCCAACAATCGCAGTGTTTCTTGACATCAGAGCTGCCTTCGATTCGTTGGACAGGGCTGTTCTCTGGGATTTTCTATTGAAGAAGGGTGTGCCTGAGAAGTTTATTAACATCCTAAAAGCCCTATATACAAACACCTCAGGCAGAGTGAGGGTATACAACCACCTTTCTCCATTGTTCCATTCGAGCAGTGGGGTTAGGCAGAGTTGCCCAATCTCACCATTCCTCTTCAACTTTGCCATCGATGACATTCTGGAAACAGTTCTGATGGATGCAAGTAATGGCGGTGGGAATCTGTTGCCTGGAGAAAGACTTCTCGACCTTGAGTATGCGGATGATATTGTCTTACTGAGTGATAATTCCCAAGCCATGCAATCCACACTTAATCAGTTGGTAATCAGTGTCCGTAGGTACGGTACGGGCTTTGCAGCTCCGAAGTGCAAAGTACTTCTACAGGACTGGCAGGATTCCAATCCTGCTTGCAAAGCAGATGACAGTTCGCCATAAGCTCTGACTCGACTGGTAGTGTTCGAGTAAAGAGCCTTTACAAGGTTTATGTACTTCTGAGGTACCCCTTTCAATGACAGGGTATCACAGAAACTCTCAGTCTACAGAGTCAAATGCTGTTTTTAATTCAAGAAAAACCATCGTTGTCGGACGTCGATAAGCATGCTTGTGTTCTAAAACCTGACGAATGGTGAATATGTGGTCGATGCAGCCACAACCAGGTCTGAAGCCTACCTGATTTTTTCGTGTTTGCAGTACACGAGTCTTTGTTAGGTGCCCAATAATTATTGAGCCTGGTATTTTAGATGCTATTTTAGTCAAACCAATCCCTCTATGGTTATCACACGGGGATTTTGACCCCTCCTTATATATTGGGACAATCAGTGATTGCGTCCAGTCAGATGGGATTACGTCTAACTCCCAGATTTTAACTCAAATATTAGTTAACCTAATCGCTAAAACTGGACCACTATAATTAAATACCACTGGAACCAATCCATCTGCTCTTTCTCGACTTCGGATTGGAATCGGGGGATCTACTTCAATGTTCCATTCAGGCTGTTTGGGAATGGTGTGTATTTGTAGAGTAGTTGAAGGCCAGCTGAACTGCTCCTTAAAATGTTCCGCCCATCGTTCTAAACGTCTGGACTGAGAGCAGATAAGAGTGTCGTCTTTTTCCGAGATCGTTTCACTTAAACTTGATTAATTAATTCCAGTTTCTTTTATTAGTCTGGATCAATGTTTGGCGTTACCTACAGCGGCTGCCTTTTCCATCTCTTGCTTTCGCTGCCCACCACTGCTCACGGTCATTCCTTAGACTTTTGGTTAACCTATATCTGATTTGTTTTCGTTCTTTATCGAGTCCAGAGCTTGATGGAGTGTTTACGAGAATCCATCAGTGCAATAGACTTAGTAGAAATCCATTGGCTTTTCGTGACCGTTTGGTTCAAATCACTAATAGATGTCACTGCTGTTTCAACAGCTGTTCGTATATCTTTCCAAGCAATATATGGGTCAGCCACGTTTTCAGAACTATCGAAGTGCGACCTCAGTTGTTCATGGAATCTACTTTTGGCACTTCGTCACTGAGTCCAACCCTAATGTGGTTTTTCTGCATGGAGTGAGGAGCAAGCAAATGCGGGCTCGTATTAGAGCATGATCGGTGTCCAAACAGGTATTTGAGAACAAGCGAGTCTTCTATCGAGCCTCTCCGACGATGACTGATGGTAATATAGTTTATTTGAGTTTATCGTTGGTTTGGTGTAGGGGATCGCCATGTTAGACGATGTCTCTCCTTATGCTTAAAATTAGTGTTTGTTAAGAATAAACGATTGTCTGAGCATAGTTGCAGCAGACGATCACCATTATCTGTTCGTTGTGCCGGTATACCAAAATACCCACCTAAATGCCTTTCTGTTTGGTTTAAGCTACCTACCTGGGCATTAAGGTCACCTGCTACGAGTACTACGTCTGAACGTTTAGCTTTATGAAGTACAGAAAGCTTTCCGTAAAACTCATCCGTCACTTCATCCGGACTACTGTCAGTGGGAACGTAGGCAGAAACGACGAAAAGACAACGACGTATCCCTATCCTTTCGAGGTCTTATGGAGCCGTTCAGCTGAATAACACTCAGATGACTGTTAACGGGGATCCATTCTAATGGTGCTTGTTCTGCCCTCGTACTCAGTGCTACGTCTACACCCGCCAGTCCACGAGAACTAGCCATCGGGTCGCCAGATATACGGAGGGTGTTTCTCGTCGGCTCCCCGTTTTGGCAAGGTGGGGTCAAGTGTGTGATCACACTAGCACCCTGTATGTGTGTTTCGGAGACATAGCATACATCAATAGTATGAGATTCTAGGGTTTCAGCCAAAGAGGGTGCGTACGTTGAAGGATTCAATGTGTAGTTTGGAGCGAGGTTTCAGTAGACCTGGGGCAGCGTTTCACGCACTAGAGTCGTTGGCCATGGTGACACTTGCGAAGGAAGTTTCGAGTTGAAAGTTGAGGTAGGAGGAATAATAGAAAGTGAGGAGGGACACTGAGTATGAATACAATGATCTTGAGTGCTGCTAGAGGTATGAGGGCAGTTATCACTTCCCGGTTGCCCACACCGTGGAAGGGTTCTTCTGGAGGTACCTGAGAAGGAAATTGGTTTAGGGGTTATCTTAGTGACCTGAGAGCACAACCACGATGCCCAGGGGACAACTACTTGAGGCCGGACACACGACCTTTTTATGGGCAATTTTTGTGTTAGCTCCGTACTTGTTGATACCTTACCACCGGAGACGGATATCCGTGGGATAAGTTGAGGTGTGCATTTCTAGGGCCGACCTTTTCTAACCTCACCCCTCATTGTAGGAAGGCAGCATCGCTGTTATGCTGGTTTTCTGAAGGAATCACCATACTGCCGTCGCACCTCTATACAGTAAGAAGTACGATTTCGCCCTCGTACATTGGGTTTACTGCTTTTAGTCTTACCGCTCTTCAACCGACTTGTCTGGCATGGTAGGACCTTATGAACGATTGTCCCAGCCAATATAGCCCGATTGGTTCATTACGATAGGCAAGTCCGACGACAACTTAAGGGTAGCAGCAACGGTATATGCACCTGCGTCATTGCAAACGATTTTGAGCCATGTCATTCAGTCTCTGACCACTGGTTAGGATAATCATGCGGACCCCAACCAGATCATCTACACATGTTAACACGGGCCAGTCCAGGTCTCAGTGATACCATTTTTTATTTGGCCGCTCATACTTTTCTTTCAGCCAACTCTTACGATAACAGTTCGCTTTGTATCAATATAATGTTGGTAAACTTGGACAAATTCTCGGTAATCTATTTCATTGTTTGATCCATCTATCCTATTCTTAATATTTCCGGTCAGTCAAATGTGGTGTAAGGTATAGCACGTTTGTGAGTCGGTTCACGTTACCGCACAACCAGACGGAATGATCAAGACAAATGCCAGACTATATTAATTGTAGTACTAACAATATCAGTAGTAGGAGTAAAAAACACTAGGTATAGCCAACCTGATATTGGGAGAATAATTTTACGGAATATAAAGTATGGCATGATTTCGAAACTCAAAATTTAATGCAAGATAAGTTGAGTGCGTGTGTTCAATTGTGACTGATTCTGGACGATTTCTTTTAAGATCTATAAATATTGGTCACAATTACTGTGCAGACTGCAACCACACTCCGTATTTACGGACATGGCTCAACCGAACAGTTTGTGCTTTCATGAGCTGGCGTTACGTCTAGTTTTGGGCACATTTAGATTTCTTTCATCCTACTTCTATGTCAATCAACATTGTTCATTGTGACAGAATGCGATTGCACATACGTAACACATATCCTAGCCAATTCAACGATGAATATCCACTACCGATTTACCATTTTATAGCGCCATACAATTAAGTTTCACATTTTGATAGGACCTAGAGTATTTTTAATCATAATTCATTTTATTTAAGATATGATTATAGATGACATTTGTAAAATGATATATACTAAACTAGTACTGTTTTATTTAAAAAATTTAGTCACGTCGCTTTGTAAACTGGTGTCCAGGAACACATTTCATTCGTGTTTCAGATCCAGCAGAAGATGAAGCTGTCAAGATGCTTATGAATACGGTAAATAAATTTCACTCATCATTATATATATATATATATATATATATATATATATATATAGTTATTATTAATACGGATTTCTCTATTTCATGCATACATATATGAAAATATTCTAGTCAACAATCTTATTCATAAGTTCACAAAAATAAATGATGTCTTTGTGAACTAGTATCATTTGTTCATTTATATAGTTTTTGTACTGAACTTTAAGCCAAACTGTTTGTGTGCAAATGACGAGTGAGTATGGCTACTTACTATCCGGCTGTGATTCGAATATAAAATCTGCTAGTTGAAAGTTGAGTCGTTTTCAGCCGCTAAGAAACAATTGTTATCAGAATTATTAAGTTCATCGTAAGATGTTTGTGGAGATTGTTGAATTTCGATGTTTTACATCATAGACTGATGTCATATTGCTGTAGCAATACGTATGCACAACTCCGTAATCGTCAACCCACTGAGTTGGTATCTAATGATATTTATTTCTGATTTCCGACGATTCACGATTATCATCCAGTAATGCATATAAGCCTTGTTTCATATTCGGCATAGCTGATCTCATCTGGTCGCGGCTTCGTTATAGAACTTCTGGAATAAGTTACCGGTGAATACGAGTTTATATCGGAAGAGTTTTGTGGATATTATTATAATTTCAATGGTTGAGATCATGAGTCAATTGAAGCTAGACCACCATGGAAAACCTGGACGGCCGTTTCGTCCTATTGTGGGACTCCTCGGCAATGCGCTTCCACGACCCCGCCTTGCGGGATTCTGACCCAGGACCTATCAGTCGCGCGCGCGAGCGCCTAACCACTTGACCGCTGAGCCGGCATCCAACGGTGGTAATGATTCACTTCAACCAATCCACTAAATTGAGCGACACATTCACCAATGTCTTCAGTCAGTTACTATCTCACAATAGACCCGGTTAAACTCCACTGGTTACTGCTTTTCACTAGAACTCAAGGAAATACCTCTTGAAGCTTGTCACTAGTGAGGATATGTTGATTCATATCAGGTTTTGTGGAGGTTGTAGTAATTTCAATAGTTGAAATCATGAGTCAGTTGAAGCTAGACCATCATGAAAAACCTAGAAGCACTGGACGGCCGTTTCATCCTATTGTGGGACTCCTAAGCGCGCGAGACTGGTAGGTCCCTGGTTCGAATCCCGCAAGGTGAGGTCGTGGATGCGCACCGCTGAGGAGTTCCACAATAGGACGAAACGGCCGTCCAGTGCTTCTAGGTTTTTCATGGTGGTCTAGCTTCAACTGACTCGTGATCTCAACCATTGAAATTACATATCTATTAGTATAAGTTCTGGTCCAATAGAGAGGGGTAGAATTGTTTATTTTGCGGTCTTCAGGTCTGCATCATGATTTTTTTGAGCAGTCGGAATTTCCGATGTGTATTATGATGTAACAGTTCTTATTCTAATTGTTTGACACATTAGTGAAAGAGTATGACTATCTACATACTAGTAGATACAAAACTAGCGTACGTGTATAAGTCAAGTCCGTACAAAACAAAATGGGTCATCAAACAAGTATACTTGTCTTACACATTAGTTAAAAAACAGAATAGATTATTCCATTGCTAATTCACTCATGCATCAACATACATTTTTGGTACAATATTATTTAATAGTAATGTACAAGTGTTATATTATATATACTTTATAGTAGTAACAGTGTACACATTAATAGAAAAATGTATTTTCTCAGAGCGTATGCGGTTTGTATTGACCCATTTTTTAGCTGTTTGGTACAGCTCATATTATGCATCTGTCATTAATTTTCTATCATTTTTAACCTTCTTTGTTTCTTTTTATTTTTAAAAGCATATTCAAGTGAAAACAAAAAGCACGAGAAAATTGATATAAGAAAAATGTATTTTTATAAATATTGTCTAGTCGCGTTTGTTTGTTTTTTTTCGAGAAAATATTTTAAATACAGAATAAATCAAAGATCATTGATTAGTGTACTTGTTTGTGTGCCCGAGTTGGAGAGGTGTATATTTATTGTATATGCAAAATAATACTCTAACAGCGATATTCTTTAAAAATGTTGGGTTGTTAGAAACAGTAAATATCATTAGTGAGTACGAAAAAAATGTTGTTCCAGACGTGAAGTTGCGGGATTCTTCCCAAAAAATACCAAGTGATGATCTTTACATGTCTAGACAATGTGAATTAGTAGTGTATGTCCAAATTAACTAACTGGCAATTGGATAGTCATGATGATGATGCTGGAACTAATGATTGACTTGGTGATGGTCGAAAATTTAGCAGTTGTTTTCCAACTAAATATCTAAAAATTTATTTTTTTAAAAATTTGAAGATTTTAATATATACAGCTTAAAATGAGCTTCAAAAAGGGATCTATGCACGTTTACATATTTCATGTGTGTAATAGGTTCAAACTTCAATCTATTTTGTCATTGAATAAAACTAAAGAAAACGACGAAATCAACATCAGTTTCGTCTTCATATCTGTCCCGTAAATTATTTTCATCCTGCTACTGTTCTCTAACCTCTTTGATCATGGATTTATAGCTAAATTAAATAATTTCGTCGAAAACAAACATATCCTTCATTGAAATTTCTTTATTTTAAATCTGTTCAGTTTTTAGTTGTGATAGTACATTAAAGATGAAATAAAAAAATTAATAAAATCCTCACATGTTCAGTTCGAGAATTTAATCAAATATTCTTAATCCAATCTTTGACCAAGAATTCCAACGTTTCAAATCTACTCTTCTCGATAGCTGCAACCAATATATTAGCACAAAAGTCTTCTAACGAAAGAACATAGAAATCACCTAAAACTACTTAGAACTAATAAAGAATTGATTATAACACGTCCAGTTGAAGGCGCTGGTTTAGTGCTGCTAAACCGCAATAATTATTTTGAAAAAATGACAACGCTATTAGTAGATGACACCAAATTCTCAGAACCAATCAATGAGAAAAACAAGACAAGTTATAGAAAAACAACTAATTGAAGCTCTTGAAAGAATGGAAAATGATAAGTTAATTGAAGGACATGTCTTTGAGCGAATAAAACCAACAGGATCATTAATACAGCGACTATATGGTATGCCAAAAAATACACAAACCTGTCCTACCTCTCAGACCTATTCTCGATATGTCAGGATCTCCTTACCATTTTATCACAAAGTGGCTGACAAATCTCTTAGAACCCATCAGAAAACACATTTGTAAACACTCCATACGTGATACTCCTGAATTTATTGAGCACATAAAAGAAGTGAGTATAAATGACAAAATCATGCTATCTCTGGATGTCGAATCATTATTCACTAATGTTCCACTCACAGAGACCATTAATTCCATCCGCAGGTACGTAAATAACAGTCAGATTAACATCGGAATACCTGATGTTTATTTGAAGAAACTATTATTGCGGTGCACTTGCAATGTACAGTTTACGTTCAACTACGTAATTTATAAACAGAAGGACGGCATAGCAATGGGATCCCTTCTGGGTCCGTTACTTGCAGACTGCTTCATGGCCAGTCTAGAAAACAATCAACTGAAAGCGATTATAGAAAAAATTCACTTGTATAATAGATACGTAGATGACATCTTTATCGTTTGTGACAACAAATATGACTTGAGTCATCTTCTGAAGACATTTTAATAATTGCCACCCAACAACAAAATTCACATTAAAAGTTGAAAACAAACAAAATATTCACTTTTTTGACATGGAAATGACAAGAAAGAAAGATGGTACTCTAAAAAGATCTATCTACAGGAGACCCATGTGGAATGACCAACTATCAAGCTTCCACAGTTGGGTCCCTATTAGTCGAAAAAGAAAACTAATAATAACACTCGCAACAAGACGACGAATCTGTAGTCATGACGTCATAGAGATACTTATTAAAAACGGATATCCTTCGATTTTCATTGATAAGAGCATTAAGCCGAAAACGTAGATAACTACAGTAGAAAAGAAAACTTTATACATGAACATCGAATTCAAGGGTGACAGCCACACACACTCTAATGAGGAGAATCTCCGATTCTTTAAAAAGAACACTCCCCGCTGCAATATAGCAAATAGTATTCCCCAGGCGATCATTGTTCACCAATGATCTTAAAGATAAATTATCGCATCTGACCAAATCAATGTGCATTTATCAATTTACCTGCTCATGTGGAGCTAGGTATATATGTCGTTCGATGTGTACTTTATCCAAAAGAATTCAAGAAAATTGTCCGGCATGGCTAAAAAGAGGAGGAAGCGGTTCAATAAGATGCTCAGTAATTGGACATTTTGTGAACACAACATTTATTTTATCGTGCTGAGCTATCCGTTTCCCTATCTATCTTTTGAGGAATACTTATGCCATTAACAATCAAACGATTATTAAACTTTCCTTGTTTTTGAAAGAATTTTTTCTAATAACTTTGTTTATTCAACCTCACTGTCAACATGCCTAACAGAAGGTTATTATCAGTACTATTATCATCCTGTAAAAATATATATTTGCGATTGTACAGCTTCGAAAATGAATTCGCCGAAAAGCGAACTCTTCGCTCAACTAATCTTTCTTAATGTCTTAATGGGTGTATTCCGTTTATTCAAAAATATCGCATTGTATTTATGCGTTCGATGGTTGCAGTCATCTTGACTTGGTTGGCTTTCAGCTATTCAGTTACCAGCTAATCAAGGCTGTAGTTTTATTATTATTATTGACTCGAATTTTCCCAAAATTCTAGTATATAATTCGCTCGTCACTGTACTCACTAGAAATGTTTAACTTCTGAGGGTGTTCAGAAATAATCGAAAATCAAGATTGTAGTCACAAAGGAAGAGGAAAATGTGAAGTTACTATGTATGACCTCATTATTTTGCCTATTTATTGAACAAATATTTTATGTTTTAAATGGTCGACTACACAGAATAATAAGATTTTTACTACAAACCTACTTTTCATCTTTAATATGCAAATAAAGACGTCGAATTTGGTCGATACACAGAATCAATAACACTGAACAGATGAACATGGCGAAAAGAAATGGATATATGTATCGAAATGCAACTTCGCTATCTAATGCTGTAGGGAAATAAACAAGTCAATAAGAAATTATTATTACGTAGGTAATAGTGATACATAAATACATATATACATTGGAAATATAAGATTCAATTCGATAATCAGAAGCCGTAGAAACACGGTTACCTAGCTAACAATGCTAAAGAAAAATTAATCAAAATATAGCTTGTATTCTCAATATTTCGCTTTAAGCTATATGTTTTCCTATCAGTAACAGTACAACCGATAAATGGAAATATGTGGATTTATTCAAGTTTGTCAAAGATTTGTTTCCTAACAGCTATTTAGTTCACAATGATCGACAACACGTACCTCCACAGAGAACAATGATTTACGATTCGACACATTTTGTTGCAGAGTATATTTAATAGATAATGGGTTTAGGTACGGGAGTGAACATCACCTCTGGGGTGCAGGTCGATTCAGATGACGTGCCTCAAGTAAAACGAGACGAATGTCTTGGGTTATAATGCTAGGCATATTCTATCTGTTAAATCTATCGAAGCGTCTAAATCACACATTTGAGATACGCACAAAACAGCGATTTGTCTAGAAATCGATTCTTTATTGAATAATATACATAAATTAGCCACGAACGTCAACTTGTGAGGGATCTGTAGCGCCTAACACGTCTGTAAGTCTGAAATAGAAAAGGCTTTCTGTAATAATAACGTAAAGAATCACCATAACATGCGATACTGAAAATCACAGTTAATAGCTTTGTCTAATCTTGATAACAGGGTACCAAAAAGCAAAAACAGAACCAAGAGCAAACAATATGGAAACTGTTGCGTTCAAACAAGGAATAAACTACTATACGAACTGCTGCTACAAGGATGAAGAGAAAGTAATTGAAATGGCAAATACAATGAATATCATACGTATATGTAAATATTATGGAACAATACATGATAAATGTGCGGTACAGCATAAGCGTGAAAACTGCTAGGAATATAACTGTTTACTGAATATTAATGAGTAGTATAAAAGGATACACAAAAGTCGGAGGGAAGTGAATAGGGACATAGAACGTAAAATAGACTTAATACCATTTATTTTATTAAAACTCATATCGTGACGGCTATATTAAGGCAATCTGTACAGGAAGCACATAAGCCAATTAATACATCAAATTTGAGGCAAAATAAGGACAACAAAATATACCAAACCACTGTAAATTAATTAAAAATGAAGAAGGAACGAATTGAGCGCGGAAATTTCTTTTCAATTAGTTTTTCATTATCGCTCTACACTAATATATAGTAGTAGTAGTAGTAGTAGTAGTAGTAGTAGTAGTAGTAGTAGTAGTAGTAGTAGTAGTAGTAGTAGTAGTAGTAGTAGTAGTAGTAGTAGTAGTAGTAGTAGTAGTAGTAGTAGTAGTAGTATAGTAGTAGTAGTAGTAGTAGTAGTAGTAGTAGTAGTAGTAGTAGTAGTAGTAGTAGTAGTAGTAGTAGTAGTAGTAGTAGTAGTAGTAGTAGTAGTAGTAGTAGTAGTAGTAGTAGTAGTAGTAGTAGTAGTAGTAGTAGTAGTAGTAGTAGTAGTAGTAGTAGTAGTAGTAGTAGTAGTAGTAGTAGTAGTAGTAGTAGTAGTAGTAGTAGTAGTATAGTAGTAGTAGTAGTAGTAGTAGTAGTAGTAGTAGTAGTAGTAGTAGTAGTAGTAGTAGTAGTAGTAGTAGTAGTAGTAGTAGTAGTAGTAGTAGTAGTAGTAGTAGTAGTAGTAGTAGTAGTAGTAGTAGTAGAGTAGTAGTAGTAGTAGTAGTAGTAGTAGTAGTAGTAGTAGTAGTAGTAGTATAGTAGTAGTAGTAGTAGTAGTAGTAGTAGTAGTAGTAGTAGTAGTAGTAGTAGTAGTAGTAGTAGTAGTAGTAGTAGTAGTAGTAGTAGTAGTAGTAGTAGTAGTAGTAGTAGTAGTAGTAGTAGTAGTAGTAGTAGTAGTAGTAGTAGTAGTAGTAGTAGTAGTAGTAGTAGTAGTAGTAGTAGTAGTAGTAGTAGTAGTAGTAGTAGTAGTAGTAGTAGTAGTAGTAGTAGTAGTAGTAGTAGTAGTAGTAGTAGTAGTAGTAGTAGTAGTAGTAGTAGTAGTAGTAGTAGTAGTAGTAGTAGTAGTAGTAGTAGTAGTAGTAGTAGTAGTAGTAGTAGTAGTAGTAGTAGTAGTAGTAGTAGTAGTAGTAGTAGTAGTAGTAGTAGTAGTAGTAGTAGTAGTAGTAGTAGTAGTAGTAGTAGTAGTAGTAGTAGTAGTAGTAGTAGTAGTAGTAGTAGTAGTAGTAGTAGTAGTAGTAGTAGTAGTAGTAGTAGTAGTAGTAGTAGTAGTAGTAGTAGTAGTAGTAGTAGTAGTAGTAGTAGTAGTAGTAGTAGTAGTAGTAGTAGTAGTAGTAGTAGTAGTAGTAGTAGTAGTAGTAGTAGTAGTAGTAGTAGTAGTAGTAGTAGTAGTAGTAGTAGTAGTAGTAGTAGTAGTAGTAGTAGTAGTAGTAGTATAGTAGTAGTAGTAGTAGTAGTAGTAGTAGTAGTAGTATAGTAGTAGTAGTAGTAGTAGTAGTAGTAGTAGTAGTAGTAGTAGTAGTAGTAGTAGTAGTAGTAGTAGTAGTAGTAGTAGTAGTAGTAGTAGTAGTAGTAGTAGTAGTAGTAGTAGTAGTAGTAGTAGTAGTAGTAGTAGTAGTAGTAGTAGTAGTAGTAGTAGTAGTAGTAGTAGTAGTAGTAGTAGTAGTAGTAGTAGTAGTAGTAGTAGTAGTAGTAGTAGTAGTAGTAGTAGTAGTAGTAGTAGTAGTAGTAGTAGTAGTAGTAGTAGTAGTAGTAGTAGTAGTAGTAGTAGTAGTAGTAGTAGTAGTAGTAGTAGTAGTAGTAGTAGTAGTAGTAGTAGTAGTAGTAGTAGTAGTAGTAGTAGTAGTAGTAGTAGTAGTAGTAGTAGTAGTAGTAGTAGTAGTAGTAGTAGTAGTAGTAGTAGTAGTAGTAGTAGTAGTAGTAGTAGTAGTAGTAGTAGTAGTAGTAGTAGTAGTAGTAGTAGTAGTAGTAGTAGTAGTAGTAGTAGTAGTAGTAGTAGTAGTAGTAGTAGTAGTAGTAGTAGTAGTAGTAGTAGTAGTAGTAGTAGTAGTAGTAGTAGTAGTAGTAGTAGTAGTAGTAGTAGTAGTAGTAGTAGTAGTAGTAGTAGTAGTAGTAGTAGTAGTAGTAGTAGTAGTAGTAGTAGTAGTAGTAGTAGTAGTAGTAGTAGTAGTAGTAGTAGTAGTAGTAGTAGTAGTAGTAGTAGTAGTAGTAGTAGTAGTAGTAGTAGTAGTAGTAGTAGTAGTAGTAGTAGTAGTAGTAGTAGTAGTAGTAGTAGTAGTAGTAGTAGTAGTAGTAGTAGTAGTAGTAGTAGTAGTAGTAGTAGTAGTAGTAGTAGTAGTAGTAGTAGTAGTAGTAGTAGTAGTAGTAGTAGTAGTAGTAGTAGTAGTAGTAGTAGTAGTAGTAGTAGTAGTAGTAGTAGTAGTAGTAGTAGTAGTAGTAGTAGTAGTAGTAGTAGTAGTAGTAGTAGTAGTAGTAGTAGTAGTAGTAGTAGTAGTAGTAGTAGTAGTAGTAGTAGTAGTAGTAGTAGTAGTAGTAGTAGTAGTAGTAGTAGTAGTAGTAGTAGTAGTAGTAGTAGTAGTAGTAGTAGTAGTAGTAGTAGTAGTAGTAGTAGTAGTAGTAGTAGTAGTAGTAGTAGTAGTAGTAGTAGTAGTAGTAGTAGTAGTAGTAGTAGTAGTAGTAGTAGTAGTAGTAGTAGTATCCAAGGAAAATATTTTCCTTGAAAAACCTTGGACCAGATTATCAGGTGAAACGTTGGATTTACTTCAAATTCTTTCGCTGAGATTTTACAAGTACATTCTTCCACTTTAATGTCTCGCATAAACTCGGCGCTCAAATATTGTTAAACTATTCGTTCAAATTTAGACGAAAGTTCTTATTTATTAAACAAATAGATGTTTAGTATAGACCAACCAGTGAATATATGTACTTTAAAAGCAATCAACACAATAAATAAACAATCAGGATTCTTGAAAATTACACAGCTAGGTAAAAATCTTACCGATTAATGGACTAATATAATAAGCCAATAAATATGGTACACTTAACGATAATCCAATAGTTACAAGCAATGGTGCGATTGCCCAAAGTAAACGCATACAACGAGCATCTTGTCGATGATGTGTCATTTCATCATGAAATAATTCTAAACGATTTCGTAACCACCATGGGGGTCCAAGAAGAGTGAGTAAGATAACCACTTTTAAATGCATAATACCAAATATCCAATGCTATAAAAATTGAAAGAATAGAGAAAATGATTACAACTAATCGGTAGCTAAACTAAATCTATTATTGTAAATAGATATATGTTGAAAACTACCTTCAATTAATTCGAGGTATTGCCCAATTAACTTTCAATGACACCCGACATGGTTGAACTCTACTGGTCAAGTATTCTCTCTAAGTTAAATAATATCTTTAGTCCCTACTGACACATGGCCATTATTGGCAAACGGGGTTTGTGGAATTTTCTGAAATTTATGGTCTAGATGACGAACTAACACTGTTGTCTAATCAAGGTAAGTCCAGGATGTACACTATTAGATTCAGCAATCTTCACAAACCCACGTAAAGATAGTTCCGTCGAAGAATTTCTTTGGATTGAATAACTATCAAGATGTGAAAACGAATGTTTAAGTTTAGAAATCATTTACCTATGATGAGGTTTGCAAATATACAAATTAAATTAGTACTACAATTTGATGTAAAATTTCAAATTATTTGCAAAAAGGTGGATTTTACTTATTATATCTGTGGATTGGGACTAGATACCAGATCTGAAAAAGTAGTATTACGCATATTTTGAAAAGAGTATGTAACGTATGTAACGTAAACATTTGAAAAAGTTTTCAGTTAGACAATAATAATAATAATAATAATAATAATCAAAACAAACCTCCCAAAACCCAACAATAATGGTTTTTTTGGGTCCAATACGGAAGGGTACAATGAAAATGAAGTTGATTAATAATCCTAAAGCTGTTGGGAGAATGCCCAGACATATTACAGCAATACAAAATAGACGTAACCAATTTATTATTATTCGTAGATAATTTTGTAGATATATCCCAATATTCATATCCACAGTAGATTGAAATCCATAATGTCGATTTAAATCAATCATAGGAGCCATTGGTAATGCTGGTCGTCGTATTGTAATTTCACATGTTGTACCTAAACGAGTCCAAATTCTAAATACACGTAATGGTCTAGACCAGCTAATTAAACTACCACTTTGACCAATCAACATAATAATTCGATAAATTCCATTGAAAAGATGTGGTATGCTGAAACGTAAGTACGATATACGTAGATACATTGAAAGAATTTTAAAAAACACGAACAATAAGATTAAAATATACTGTGCAGTGATTCAAGTGAACTCCACCTGGAGCCCTTCTGGGGCTACTGCCGTAGGATGGTTGGGCATAGGGTTAGCGATACCATCCCGTAGAAAACTAACTCGCTAAAAAAACGTCATCCAGAAAAACTAATTCAAACCACTTAAATTCTGCCCTGGGAGTTAGGTCTTCATTCAGAAGAGTTAGGACGCCTCGTGGTGAAAACCGAGTTCCGTCGAAAGTCACGAAGCTGATGCCTCTTCTGACAACTAAAGCAACAATTAATTTAGCTACATGGAATTCTCGTACAATGTGGGAGACCGGGAGAGTCATCCTGATTGCTGCAGAAATGAAAAGATACAACCTGGAGGTGCTTGGAATCAATGAAACACATCGGACGCAGGTTGGACAACAAAGATTAGCTTCTGGAGAGCTGTTGTTATACTCCGGTCATGAAGAAGAGAATGTCCCACATAAACAAGGAGTTGCACTGGCACTATCCAAACAAGCACAAAAAGCACTTATAGGATGGGAATCTCATAGACCCAGGATCATCAAAGCTTCTTTTGAAACAAAGAAAGAGGGCATTACAATGAACGTCATCCAATGCTATGCGCCTGTCAAAGACTACAATGAAGACGTTAAAGATAATGGAGAAGATTTGTAGCTCAGGTGGATGATTTTGGTGGAGTTTTGTTCTCTGAGCTGGATGGTTTGGTCGTGGAGCTTTCATCGTTCTTCTCAACGACATCATCAGCACAAACTTCAGATAGAAGTGAAGTGTTCGAATTTCTCCATTTGTGTTTCACAGCTTGTTCTGTGCACCTCGATGTTGATTAGTTCTTGTTGACCTTAAATTTATCATTGTTTACCTCTTTGTTTTGGTTGTGTCTCCCATTGGTTTGATTTTTGTTCCTATATTTATACATGATTTCCCTGATTGGTTGATAAGTTGGATTGATTTCAATATGTTTGTTGATTGACCTGAGTGCCAAACTTCTAGAAATTCTCTGGTGTTTTCGGAGTTTCCTCTGTCTAAGATTTCTATATTTCCCCAATCGAATGAGTGTCCGTAGTTATTTACGTGTATTGATATAAGTGAAGAGATATCATGGCGTTTGACTGCTAATTGATGTTCATGTAGTATTTGTCGCAGTTAGTACAATTTATTTTGTAGATGATGTTTGATTTGTTTTCCTTTGTTATTTCATCTTTTGGTTTGCATAAGATTGATTGTAGTGATTTTGTTGGCTTGTGTGCCACACCTATCCCGAAGGTTTTCAGTAGTCTCGTTGCGGTTTCTGATATTCCTTGTAGGGTGATCCTTTTGTTGATTTTTGTGCTTGACTTGGGTTCTGATGCTGTGTACCGTTGGTGCTTTTTGATGAAGTTGATAACTGCCTAACAAAAGCCTTGACCATTCTGATGGGAGACTACAGAAGCATCACTTTTCTCTCAATACCAGGAAAAGACTTCAACAGGGTGTTATTAGACAAAATGAGGTACTCCGTAGACTACCAACTTTGAGACCAACAGACTGGATTCCGTGAATACCGATCATGTACTGACCAAATCCCAACACTACGGGTCATTGTGGAACAATCAATTGAATGGAACCCATCACTCTACGTCAACTCAATTGACTACGAGAAAGCATTGGATAGCGTGGACAGAACAACACTATGGAGTGCTTGAGAAAATAGTCAATATCATGCGGAATTCCTATGATGGATCAAACTGCAAAATCATGCATGGAGGACAGCTAACAGACTCGTTCGAAGTAGAGACTGGTGTCAGGCAAAGTTGCTTAATCTCACCCTTCCTCTCTCTCCTGCTGGTCGACTGGATCATGGAAACGTCAAAATACACAATGGGAAAATCAAGATTCTCCGATACAACACAGCATGCATGAATTAAATCACACTTGACGGAGAAGCTTTGGAATATGTAAAGACCTTTACATATCCGGGGCAGTATCATTGATGGACACGGTGCATCTGATACAGATGTGAAGGGGCGGGTCGGCAGAGCAGGAACAGCATATCTAAAATTGAAGAACATCAGGAACTCGAAACAACTGTCAACCAACACCAAGGTCAGAATTTTCAACACAAATGTCACGACAGTTCTACTGTATGGGGGCGGAAACTTGAAGAACTATGAAAACAATCATCCAGAATATACAAATGTTTATTAACAGTTGTCTAGGCTAAATACTTCGGATCTGTTGGCTAGACACTATCAACAACAACCTGACGTTAGAGACAACAAACATGATCTCAGCGGAGGAAGAAATCAGGAAGTGGATAGGACACACATTTAGTAAAGCGTCCAACTACATCAAAAGGCAAGGCCTAACCTGGAATCCTCAAGGCCAAAGCAAAAGAGGAAGACCAAAGGACGCGTAACGCCGAGAAGTGGAGACAGACATGAGAAGTATGAACAAAAATTGGATAGGACTAGAAAGGAAGGCCAATGACAAAATGGGTTGGAGAATGCTGGTCAGCGGCTTATCCTTCATTGAGAGTAACAGGCGTAAGTAAGTAAGTGATTCAAGTGACACTCAGTGTGTTTATATGAATAAAATATTAACATCATTTCCACGATTCGTAAAAATTTCAAATGATTGGTCAGATATTTGTTCGAAGTACAGTACAGCTATATTACAAGTAAAGACCGGAATCAGACAAGATGCTTAGTCTCCCCTTTCTCTTTCTTCTAGTGGTCGACTGGATTATGAAGACCTCTATATCTGGGGTAAGCATGGAATACAATAGACAGCTTGGATGCAGCCAGACGATTTGGATTTCGCAGACGACATAGCTCTTCTATCTTATACACACGAACAAATTCAGGTGAAGACAGACAGTGTAGCAGAAGCCTCTGCATCAGTAGGCCTCAACATACACAAGGGAAAAAGCAAGATATTGAAAATCAACACAGAGAACACCAAACCAATCATACTTGATGAAGGAGCTCTGGAACAGGTGCACAGCATCATCTGTAAACAAGGAGGATCCGATGCAGATGTAAAGGTGAGGCTTGGCAAAGGGAGAGTGACATTCCTACAGTTGAAAAAGATCCCGATCTCAAAACAACTGTCAACCAACACCAAAATCAGAATCGTTAACACGAATGTGGAGACAGTTCTACTGTACGGAGCTGAAACTTGGAGAACTACCGCAACCATCGTCAAGAAAGTACAGGTAGTCATAAACAATTGTCTACGCAAGATACTCATTGTCCGTTGGCTGGATACCATCAGCAACAACCTACTGTGGGAGAGGAAAAACCAGCTTCTAGCTGAAGAGGAAGTTAAGGAAAGATGATGGAAGTGGATAGGACATATGTTGCGAAAATCATCAAACTGAATCACGAAACAAGTGCTAACTTGGAATCCTAAAGGGAAACGGAAAAGAGGAAGACTAAAGAACACACTGCGTCGGGAGTTAGAAGCAGATATCAAAAGGATTGTCCAGGACAAAGTTCCATGGATAATGTCGGTGGGTGTGCTACGCATAAGCTATATATATATATATATATATATCCAGTGACTCCATTGGTGGCTAAAAGGTCTAACAAGTTACCTTTTTAGTGGGAAACTAAATTTCCCAATCAAACTATCGGAGTTTTAAAACGACAATAATCACTAATTTAATAACTGCTGAACTAAAACTTTTCTTTTGAAATCGAAAACAAAGAGAAAAAAATTCTTTAGTAAATCATTTCAGTTTTTTTTATTGAATGATACAGTTAGTTAAATGCACCATAGAAGCTGACACATGTGTACATCTGTTCAAATGTCCACAAAACATTCGCACAATGAAGTGACATCGTCCAGGGCAAATTTCAAAATAGTAGAGGTAATAACACTAACAATGGTAATAAAACAACACTAGATGAATTTATAAACTCAGGAATAAAAGGAAGCTAAAGAGTGCATGGATTTGAGCCATCGAGAACGATATTGAGCTACTTCAACGAGTCTTTAACCATTGGTTATGATAATCTTGCTGGTCGCAACCAGGTAGTCTAGGCCTATCCAATAGCTAATGTCTTCATGAACTGATACCATACTTTAGTTTAGCTTCCTTTTAACTTACACATACAGTAGCCATCAAAGTGCATCGAGGTAGTCAGTGGATAGACGCATAAGATGTCTTAACTATCTTAGTTGATAAGGATTTACTATCTTTTCAAATGATTTCTCACAGTAACCTCATACTCTGCGTCTAATCTCAGGTAAACATTATAATGTTAGATATTGATAACACTAAAATCAAATAGTCAGTTTATACTCATATTTAAGAAATCACTATACAAACATTATGCTAGAAAAAGCCAAAATAAGTATTGAATCGTGAACCCTATATATAGTGGTATGCTCAGAGAAGAGAACTTACCAAGGAGCTAGACGGAGAATTATTCCCAGAACAGTGAATCCACCAACTAAAGCGATAGCATCATGCTTTGATGTAGAACCACTTCCGCTTAAATTCAACAATAATAAACGTCCAATACCAACTGGTACAATTAGTACAGTTAAACTTAAAGATATCAAACTAGTAATTAATATTAGGATTAAGCCAGTAATTCGTAATTTGAAGAAATTTCCTCGTTTATATGGAACATAACGAGTAAAATCTGTATCATCATCGTTATCATAATCAGCATTTGCATGATTAACGTTATCTTGTTCATTATTTTCAGGTTGGGATTGTTCACGAAATCGATTATTTGTTGAAGTAATCTGTCCATAAGATGATGACGGCGATGATAAGTTTGGAGCATAAAGATCTGTCGAAATATCGTCTGGTTCATTAGTCAATGTCCGTTGAGACGATTCTACAGACATGAATCCCGAATGACTATTCAAATTAGATGTTTGATTATGAGAATCTCGACGTCGTTTGTATGGTACTTCAGTTCCATTTTCAGTAACAATAAAATCCTAAACCAATAAACATTAAGTAAAGCTGCTACTAGAAAAGGTTACTCATGCTGATTACACAATGAATTCACGATATAAATAAATTTTTAATTCATTGTAATGAATTTTCGTTAAACGTTAAAATTAATGAGATGTTAAAAACAGCATACATCAATCGTATAATAAGAATATGGCAAAATGCAATTCCGTGTTTTATATGCTGGTATCTAATAAATAATTTATGGTCGATTACTTTAACCCCATCCAATTAATTTAAAACGATCATTACATTTTCATGACTAACATGTCGATATGAACAATATCTGTAAACAAGGAGGATCCGATGCAGATGTAAAGGTGAGGCTTGGCAAAGGGAGAGCGACATTCCTACAATTGAAAAAGATCCCGATCTCAAAACAACTGTCAACCAACACCAAAATCAGAATCGTCAACACGAATGTGGAGACAGTTCTACTGTACGGAGCTGAAACTTGGAGAACTACCGCAACCATCGTCAAGAAAGTACAGGTAGTCATAAACAATTGTCTACGCAAGATACTCATTGTCCGTTGGCTGGATACCATCAGCAACAACCTACTGTGGGAGAGGAAAAACCAGCTTCTAGCTGAAGAGGAAGTTAAGGAAAGATGATGGAAGTGGATAGGACATATGTTGCGAAAATCATCAAACTGAATCACGAAACAAGTGCTAACTTGGAATCCTAAAGGGAAACGGAAAAGAGGAAGACTAAAGAACACACTGAGTCGGGAGTTAGAAGCAGATATCAAAAGGACGAGTAGCAACTGGAAAGGATTTTCCAGGACAGAGTTTGATGGAGAGTTCCGTTGGGCGACCTACGCTACTCCACAAGGGGTAACAGCCGTAAGTAATAATCTAATTGATTAATAGTCATACAATAAGGATATATATATTAGTAGTTCATAAATAGTTCCTGGTAGTTACCCTTTATTTATTCTTCGTTAGAATATAATATATTATTTGATCGTTTAATTTTTAACTGATTTGTTTACGGTCCCAAACTTATGTTATCAGTTTTTGAAAATGTTGGTTCTTAAAGTACACGATATTCCATAGCAGCAACAAAGACACTAATTGTTTCCAGCAGGAATACGAAGTGAACAGTATACGATTAGTCTTACGTAGGATATATATATATATATATATATATATATATATATATATATATATATATATATATATAATATTGATCGAATTCTATCGATTAAACCGTAATGTAACCGTTAATCTAGATAATTGAACATCGCATGCACTTTGATGAGATGATGGATTGCTGACGGGTTTTTCGGATACTTAAAAAGACATCTTGTGTTAAATATTGGTTAACTTTTGTTATGAAAAAAGTAGCGATTCAATTTATTTTGAAGAGAGGAATAAAGAGGCGATTACAAACAACGGACATTTTTTTGACATTGTGTCGCTGAATTTCGAATCTGTAAAGTATTAAATGTAAAGTATTAGATGTTTGTTGTATTTTATGAATCACATGCTTTCATGTAATGCATAAATTACCGTTATTTTCATTTTTATTCCAAAATTGCAGTAATTTAGACGTGATCTTTGTGTTCTTTTTTTAAATTCTAATACCCTAGTTTGGATAGAATTGTATTTTTCACATTCATTGTGGGTTTCAGTCCTGTCAGTTATGTATTTATTCATATACCTATTTTGAGTTAATCGAATCAAGAATAAGTCGGAGAGGGAGTTCCAGCTAAGTAGTCTTTTTTCTCTTGCCAACCAGTCAACTCATACGTTACTAGTAGCAAAGTTTCTCTACTGTGCCCTCAATCTCACCCAAATACAAATCGAGCTCACATGTTACAAGTCTCAAGATATTATGAGGCAACCTATCACGTCAAGGCCATAACCTAGATCAAGACAACTCTCTCCTTTCCTATACATCAAGCACAGACTAGTGGTTAAAAACGACACAAGACTACATTTTAGAAGTGGAGAAAAACTCTAAAATTTCCAAGGCATTCCTGACAATGTTAATAATTGAGACAATGGATTCTCACACAGTGATATTTACCAAATAGCGGGGCCACATTTTAATCTAGTAGTCAATACCTCAACTATTATTCTCAAAATATCAGTTTACGTTATGGATCCATAGAATGAGTTCAACCAACAGAATTAGAATCATTTGACTCTAACATGATTAGAAAGAGAAATAAACAAAACTTATGACCAGCAGCATTGAATAATACCCATAATTTACGACCCTTAGAATGTAAAACGTACTACCACTGTAGCCATTTATCACTTCACTGCCTAGTATTTATTTTGTTATCTGTGATCATTTTATTTTGTTGGTGGCACATTAAAATCCTACGCGTACATTTTCTTTTATACAAACATTTAAATAAAAAGAATAATGAAAATTAACTAACCCCTGGTGAAAATGGAATATCACCGAGCAAGTAACTACGTAAACCAAGCAACCATGATACACATATACACCACCAACGTAAAATCTGACGAAGAGTTGTTTTAGCGTGATTATCCAATAAGAATGGTAGAACAACTTGTAATAGTATCATTTCCAATGAATAATCCAATGGACTGTCACTTGAATAAAAGCATACAAAGAAAAACATGAATATACCAAAAAGATAAAAATGTAATAATAATAATGAATCAGCCTAACAAAGAAATTAAACAGAATAAATGGAATGCAGCTAGCAGTGAAATTCAGGATGTGCCTTTTTTCCTATTTAAGACTTGTAAGCTGGATGTACCTGCATCCTAGGGTTGGTGTTGACTCCGGCATCGAACAATCGGGTAATCTAAACCATTACAGGTAAAATTTGAAAAAAATTAAACATTTCTTATAAGTAAATTCAACTGTTTTGTTAGGTGACCTACCTTTGGTAAACTTCAAAATTCAGAGAACTCATTTAATAACCGAAATATGACAATATTTATTTTCAATAAGCTATGTATAATTCAACTATACCCAAATTTCAGAGGTAAACTATATGTTACTTAATGTGTCTTTTTTATGCACTCACTAGTTATTTTTTAATCTTGATACTTATAAAATATTTAAGGTGTTAAAGCTCTTCAAAAAAGCAAATTTTTGTTTTACAGGTTTATATGAATCTTTCAATTTCTTTATTAGGCATTCTCAGATAATTTCTTACCGTAAGGCTTTGATGGGAAATATTTACATCACGAAATGATTTTGGTAAGACAAACATTCTGAACCAGGAAGTACTGGTGTGGAACAGGACAAAGGGGAAAAGAATTGACCATTGGAAATTAAAAAGTGTTTACATAATTCATATACATAGTCTTTGATCATCAATTAGAATCTTGCTGTGTTCTGAAATCCAAACTATCTCGTTTGGTCATCAAGCGTTGTGCCTACGTTGAGCTTTCGATGTACAGAAACTCTTCACTCCGCTTGATGACTACTACATACTACCTACAAGTGAGTAGCGTCCACTACACTTGGACAGTTGCTGTTTTAGTTTTGAACTACTCAGCAGCATCCATCTGCGACTCCACAGTAGATCGGACACATAGGAACTCCAGATAATGCAGAGACTGCCTAAATTCAGGACCATTGCGGAGAACAGTCTATAGTTCACATATTTAACTCTGGTCGATCTACCTAAAGGTTAGGCGCTCGTGTGAGAACTGAAGATGTTGAGCCAGATCCTCGGTGAGGTGGTAGATAAGGACTACTGAGCAGTCCCATAATAGGATGGAAAAGCCTTCTAGTGTCTTCTGGTTTTTAATGGTTGACTAAGGTGGGTCCACGATGTAAACTATGCAGTTCAACAGAATTCTTACACAAAAACAGTCATGTCATGACAAATTTTTAGAGGTAATCTCCAAGTTCTACTGAAAAGCTATGGATAATGGAGCTTAACTGATTTAAGTGTGAGGCAGGTGCCCACTAATAGTACTGGAAGATATCTGTGCAATATTGCAATACAATCAGAATTAGAAATATAAACCTTTGGATGCCAACTCATTGATCTGAAGACTAAACGATCGCTGAAAATCCCTGAGGGTCAGCAATTATGTCTCTGGTGGAAGTGATAATGAAATAAATCATTTATGATGTACGGATTTGTGTATTTCTCTGTGAGCCAGTGATGATATCCAACTGAGTAAAGCAAAGTACGTTGAGTGAGACTCAAGTTTGCGACCTGTTCTGTATATTAACTAGTAAAAAGGCTACCAAAAAGAAATGAAATTAGACAGGGCACGAATTTACAACCGATGGTTGAAACGTGAACTCTTTAACCACTAAACACCACTGTTCCACTTTAAAAACAATTGGAATATAAAGACCAGAGTTTCGATTTTTTTTTCTAAAATATTTATAATCACATACACAATACAATAGAGTAAATTACTGTGCACAGTTACTGCTTTTTCCAAAACTTACTAAGCTGCATTAATACGAAATGGCAAGAATTTAGGAAAGAAATGCCGAATAACTTCTGTAGGTAACCATAGCATGAGTACAATTAATATACCCCAAACTGACTATATGATTTAAAACAAAACAAAAAAAAAATATATGGCAACTAATGTTGTCAATTTGTAGTCATAGAAATTACAATGGTGTTCAACCTTAAGTATAAGTAGTATGACCATAGATATTACATAATTTCACAGTGGAGAAGTGTTCACCACTTACATAAGTAGCAATCAAACGTTGTATGTATAGTGGTAATGGTTGAAGTATCATCTGCAAGCAAAACAAAATAAATAAAAATATGGTGTAATCCGTTGTCAATAATAATAATAATAATAATAATAATAATAATAATAATAATAATAATAATAATATAATAATAATAATAATAATAATAATAATAATATAATATAATAATAATAATAATAGTAATAATATAATAATAGTAATAATAATAATAATAATACTAGTAATAATAATAATAATAATAATATAATAATAATAATAATAATAATAATAATAATAATAAGTTTTTGAGATAAACAAATGAAGGAAACAAGACAGTAGATATTTGTACAAGGATAAATTTGAACGTACATGTATATTTTAATATAGTGTGACAACAGACTACGTCACTTCAGTTTATACGAACTTAATTAAATTGATTATTGTCAACAAATAAAATTTATTTTACAATTCCTCGACAAACTACAGGCCACAACAGTAACAATATAGTTCAGTTAATGCCGTAAAATCAAGTGTTGTGTGACAATAAAGTGTACCAATAACAAATGAACTTATTATTGGAGGATTTTAACAATTTAATGAACGAAATTTTATATTGTCAAAATGAAAAAGGGAATGCTGATCGATAGATGATATGCAATAATATGAAGTGTAGACTAGTAGTGGCCGGTCACGAGACCGTATACTTGAATGCGAACCCGTGAATGATTTCAAGCTAAAGACAAGATTATTAACCAGAGAGCAGTTTTTCTAACTCATAAAACGACATGCTTAACTATAAAATATTGTCGTAAAATAAACGTGTTCTATGGGGTTGGAGGAAATTAATTTGTAAGTCACTAACTATTCAATGAATTAAGTTATGATTGTTATGCCCAATTCTTGGACAGTGGATTAAAATTATTTAATGTACCTTTCTCAGTGTGGATGTGAATTTTGGGATGCTTGTGATATTGTAACTATGCTACTTATTATTTAGTGTATTTCTTGCTTTTCATACACCACTATTCATCAAAGACAACTATATGCTTGAGAGAATGAAGGTTACAACGATTTTCATGCCGAAAGCGACACTGTAACCCAAAAATGTCATCAGATTTAGTAAATCGTAAATCACATCTTTACAAATAATGCACCTTTTTTTAGCGTTGTCCTTCTTTTGTAACAGACTGATTATGGCTACAGATTGGCGTGAATTTTTTTAATTTTCGCAATATATATATATATACCCTAATCTTTCATTGCTAGAAGGAGTGTTTCTTAGTCGTAAAGCAGCAAGTAGAGGAGCTGTTACACACTATACTATTTTCTTCTATGTGCAGTTGAAAATCTTACCGACACAATGAGAAGGGTAAAAGACATGGCATCTGTAATGACATTTGATAAGGATTATTAACCTCACTATGCTTTCTTCTCTAGTCTTTGATATCGACTGCAAACAAGGGTCGACGTTCAGATCAGACTTCGCAATTCATTAACGTAGGGGAGAGAAAGTAGGCGATCTGATATGGTGCCTTCAGATACACCCACTTTTAGAGGGTTTTCATTCAGATTGTGTCTTATACACCCTTACTTCTTGTCTCCGATCACAGAGGAAATTTATCATCCATTCTCGTATGGTACCTGTTATTTCAAAGCTGCTTTGCTGAAATTTGTCAAAATCATCGCATTGACAGGCATCTACGAGGATCGCTTTGGTTAGACAATTTTCTCTACATAACCAGGGTGAGTAAATCTGGTTTGCAGCGACGCTTATACGCGACCGATGATAGATCGGTACACATTTTACAGAACCATCTATTACAGCTGTCACAATGCATATAATCTTCATCAGGAAAGAGACACAATGGTCGACTACATCGATAACTTTGTACGACCAGTTTAACCAGTATGATCGGTATACAACGAGAAAACGAGTCTTCTTGTACGCGCACAATAACTCAAGTAACAGAACCGCTACTACAGTACCTATGGGAATTTACCAAAACGGTTACTTCAATTAGTAGCAGTCGAAGTAACAACTCTATGAAAACAACGGAAAAATAGTAAATGCCAATGCACGTGTATCTGTAGAGATATGCATCAGAAAACATTCAACTACTGAAAGCTAAGGTGACAAACGTGCAAAAATGTATTTCGAAAAAACAAATATCGCTGAAGGCGTTCAACATGAGTTTGAATGTAAGCATCTGGTACGATAACCGCAAAAGAAGTCAAACATCTTAAAATGTGGAAACATTCACTCCCTTGATCGAAATTGCGCGGGTAACTGCAGTGGCAGACGGACTTTCTCACCTGGACAGAAACTGCCAAGATAGTGTAGTTGATGCCACTAAGTTGCGAAACACTCTACAAAAATACTCCCATAGCTTTGGACACATCCAGATGTGCTTTGATCAGAGTAACAATAACAATCTCCATTGGAACCAAAGTTAGAAAACATACACGGATATGAAGAAGTTTATCACAAAAACTGGATCTTCACTGGTAAGCATACACCCAGGATTAACACGGGTCATCTGAACTACTATTATTTATATTACGGACGACCATACTGCATCCACAAGGTCGAGCGAATTCCCGTCTAGTTGACATTAAATTAAGCTCTCGTGAAGATGTTAGTCATATTCCGATGAGTTCAAAAGCAGTGTATGAACAAACCCGATCATCCTCCCTATCCTAAAGTGTTTGTGTAGTGTATATTTGTGGTATTTGTGCGAAATAATGATTCTTTTGTTCTTGATTGCCCGCTGATTTCGAATTCCAAACACAATACATTCGTTTGTGCTCATCTAGTTTAACTTGCTGTAAATTGTACTAAATTGGGAATTCCTAGTTAGGTAATAATTCGAATACTTAAAATTATCATAATTTCTATTATCGCTAGTTCACTAAAATGTAGTAGACTTTCCCACTCCTTTGGATGCCCACTGATGTGTGAGTAAATATGTGACCCGTAAACGTGCCCCATTACTTATATGACAAGCTTAGAAATAGTAAGCTCTTACATAAGACAAAGAAAATCAAATACAAGAATTACTCAGAAAAAAATTCAAGATCTGAAAATTATTTTTCGTACGACTAACTGAGGATTATTTACAGATGACTCATTCATGTTATTACTTGTTATCTTAAATTCCGTCTTGATATATATTGTCCTACTCGAACTATTTGTGTAATTTTTGATCGACTTACATCTCCATAACTGAAACTATCATGGCGGGTAAAAGATAGAATGTACAACGAGAAAGACTTTATTGAATTTTGAGAGCTAGTTTAATAAACCTAGAGATGTAATGTCTGGATTCTGTATTTACTCAGAAACTCCTATCTTGTAAAAACTCAAGTATGAAGAAACTATTTAAAGAACTTACAGATGAGAGGCACATTAGAAGCAATGACCAGCTGAATGTTTGTGACTCTAATAAGTCTTTTGTACGTCAATCATCTGATATCATGCTTATTATATACAAAGGTTTGAAGAATATTTATGTTCCGATTTTCCCCCTAAGTGATGTCCGCAAATTTCTCCAGCCACTTAACTCTCCAAATATTTAGGAATTGATGAAATCCCAAACCTCTTTTTTAAGAACTGTGTTGATGTTCATGAGTATATTTGACAAATCCTTATCAACCAATCTCATACAGAAAATGTGGAGCAAATAAAGACGATACCAATACCTAAGTATCTAGCGATAAGGATGTAAAATCTAGACCTATAGCAATAATTTCACTTTTTCTCAAAACTAATGCAAAAACTATTGTTACTCCCAATTGAACCTGCACCAAAAAAGCACATTGATTCGTATCAGTTTGCTTACAAATGTAAAACAAGCACCTTAGATACTGTTTTCGTTCTGTATCATAATATAGTGTTCAGCTTGGAAAAGTGTAGAAGTATGCCCGATGCGCTTTTCTAGATTATACTTTTGCCTTCGATTCTATTCCAAAACAACTTCTACTTTAAATGTTAGTCAGAGTCAACATCGACAGCTGGATAATCAACTGGCCGTGTTCCAACCTCTCTGGAAGAGAACAGTAAACTGTATTCGGAGGAGAGTGTTCAAAGTCTCTACTGAACCATGAAGGTATGCCATAAGAAGCTGTTCTCTTCCCTCTTTTTTTGTGCATGATTTGCCATCTTCCACAAAAAACGCTTTTTTTAAACATGTGGACGATCTCATTGTATGTATGCCGATTTCTACCTGTTTACATCCCCTTGAAATGCCTCTTATTGAACGATGGTCTGTTGTTAATGGCCTCACATTCAATCCTCTTAAATGTCACCGTTAACTTTAGACTGAAATATGAACAGCATCTAAACAAGCTGATGGAATCCCATAATGCATGTACTACTTGTAGATAGATGTCTGAAATCTGGCAGATGTCATCCTATCATATACTAACCATCCAGTTCATTCATATCTTTCTCCTCGTATATCTTCTGGTAGAACGAAACATCAATATATTAGAATCAATGTACGCAAGCAAAGATATAAGAGCTCTGTGATACCTTATCTAGCAAATATATAGTATGAGAAACAGGTCGTTAGAGCTGAGCTAATCAATAACTTGTATTCTTAAACATGTTTCCAATTAAAAAGTTGAATAGATTTAAATCTAAAAAAAATTCATTTAACCCCAGGTACTTCATTAACTAAATTTATGAATATATGTATGCAATTATCGTTTCCTGTTTTGTTTTATAAAATAAGCTTGTTGAAATACTTTGTTCTGAGAATTCTATATTGTACCAAAAATATGATATGGGATAAATCCATTAATACCGATAATCATAAAAGTAATAATATTAATAATGATAATATTAAAATATTTACAGTCTATTTAGATTCACTGCTTTAAGTATACAATTTATCATCACTGAAGAAGGACTAAGCATAACTTAAAAACATATTTTTGCACAGAATGCAGTCAGTTTTTACATACTGAACTGTAAACGAAAGGAGCTTCTTTGGATTTAGAACCAATGGTTCATGTGTATGTACGTAAGTATGAAACGAAACCAGTAGCAAGTAAAACAAAGAAATAACAACAAATGTAATAACGGTTATTTAACAATACGATACAATAAAATATTTGCTTACATCTTGAATAGGCTTATAATCAGGATCATTAAAATGATATATGAAGCGTAGAACACCAGGACGTAGTACACTTCGACCCAGTACAAGCAAAGACGCCATATAAAATATGTACAACATTCCAATTGCCCAATGAATAAAGGTAAAAGCAACTGGTGCATAATGAAATACACTAGCTCGTTGAGTTAACGTCGCATTGAAAAGAGACTATATGAATGAATACAAAAAAATGTGCTTAAATATTTATATTTTCAAAGTATGAAAAATACAACTAAAGTATCTTCAACTTATCACTACAGTCGGAACAGCACGATGTGATGCATCCTATTCCTTAAATAACAACCGACACCTTAGTCAATCCAATTAATAGTCTTGTGTCTCTTAGGGAAAGCCTAGCATAATTGGCTGTTTTAAATAAAATCTCACGAAATTCGAGTTCGTTATAACCATCTAAACTTCATAAAGGGATAAAGGTTCAATGTTAACTCGCCTATTTTTAAATAAAGCAAGAACAAATATTGATGCAGAATAGTATGAATTCTGAGCACGTTCCAAAAAACTTGAGGCTGCGTGGGACCAGGGCTTTCAGCAGTGCAATAGCTCGACATCTACTTGACACCGGGCACACCATCGACATTCCTCATGCTTTCAAAGTTATCAATAGACAAAGAAATACGACCACCCTCCGTTTTGCTGAAGCTATTATGATCAAAAAACTTAAACCTGACTTATGCATTCAAAAAGAGACGTTAATTAGCTTATCACTACCCTGGTAACCCTTTATTATTATTTACTTTAAAATATTTATATTCCTCCCCTATTACATAATTCTTAAACCACATTATTATTTACGCATTTCCACCACCTGATCCTCCTAAATTATCTTAACTTTTCATATTCTATTTAATTATTATTACGCAACCTATCTTATGATTATTCAATTGCATTATTACACCACCCAACCCGAATTAATTCTTTTTGACCTCTGACCTGTTCTAGCATATATATATATATAGTTATTATTGTAACCCAGTTATTTACACTCATCTATGTCATTTGTTTTCACTCTATCTCAATGTAAAAATTCTATCACATTTTTGGGTTTGTAAGCAGCTGAAGAGAAACCTCGAAATAATATGAATTCATACTATTCTGCATCAATATTTGTTCTTGCTTTATTTAAATTCATAAAGGGAACCAATCGCTTATTTTTGCCTGTTTGTAGATTCATAACTGAAAAGTAGCTGGAGACTAGTTGAGCTGTTCTTGGAAGAGCTGTACTTTTCCCTTCATTAACTTTATTTGTGGGTCGGTAGTTAGACAAAATATAGAAGAACGTCATACATAAGTGTATGTGAGAGTCACATACTAATCCGTCTTTTTCTACGCTAGTTCAACTATTAAAGTATTAAATTTAGTCAGTTCGATACCTTTAAACTAGCCTACTAAGATTGTTGCCTTTTCGATTACTTTTATTCTTTAAACAAATTAAAATTTATGATCATTAGTAGATATTGCTTTCACTTCCTATAGCATTTAGAGTCCATCAAGAAAGTTTGCAACATAAAAAATCCTGAAAAAGCTGTCGAAATTGACTAGTCTTCTATGCTCTCCGAAAGTTACTGACGGTTGTTGCCTAAAATTTCATTAAACACTATATTAATGTTCTATAGATCATATATTTGTTTTGTTTCAATCATAGTTTACATTGATCTTCAATATTTACTTTAAAATTAGGCAGAAAGTAATAAGGGGATTGATCAACTGCAACCCTAAACACTAATAAGAAGATTCAAACAACCAATAAAAAAGTATTAAATTTTACGCCATTACACAAACCAGTGTCTATATAAACTCAGTAGACTAAATGAATAATGCGATGGAGTTTGAAGCGAACAGTACCAGGTTTGAGTCCCGGAGCGAACATCGACTCTGGGATACAGGCACATCCAGCTGACGAGTCCCAAAGAAGGGCGAAACGCGCGTCCTGGATCCCACTGTCAGCCACCATGCATTTCTACTCATAAGGTATTGTAATGGTTTATATATTGCTGATTTTTTTAAACCAAATGAGATAATGGCCCTAATTTAAATTAATGCAGCAGCCTAAGTGGATTTTTTGTGCACCAGTGACTCAGTGGCTGAGGCATTCAACTTGTAACTACTAGGTCAAGGGTTCGGTTTCCAATCCACTTGATTCAGTTTGGGCATTTGAATAGTACCGCTAACCACTCACGAGAAAATTGCGACTCAAAGCCAAGTACAAGAATCCGTACTAGGTGAATAGATTACATCAATCCATTTAGTGAACTTCGGTTTTTTGAATATAACGTTTATATAAATAGAGTCTAAACGTTACAAATGATTGATAAGATGATAAAAAAATTGACGGCGCATCAAAATAACGAAACAACCTACTGAGATTTACACTAAGAAAGTGTGTCAAAGTATTTTGCAAATATCGCGATAATCATTCGAATTTAAAACGATATTCAAAACACACGTAAAAAACTTAAGTACAAAAAAAAAACTGAAAAAAAAAAACCATTTCCCGATAAACGGATTCTTTATCTCAATAGGCAAAATCATAGTTATAATTAAATGCTTTGGGTTCTTGTATCGTATGAAGACAATATACACTAATTTGT